TCCTCTTTTGGTAATAAAAGCTTCTATAGCAACATATATCCTTCATAAAAGTGACTGAATTTGTATTTTTGGAGCATATGTTGGAAGTTTAATGCAGTCTAAACTGCAGCGTACAATAAGCTCACCCAAACAGGGAGCAAGCACACACTGCAAGATTCATCAAGATCAGAAGCACAGCTCAGTGAGTCACCCTTTGCTCCTGGTCACTAGGCACCTGGTAGCTACCCTGCACCAGGGACAAACTCGGGGCATGGGACACGATACACCTCTCCTACAGCTTTGGCAGGCCAGTCCCCTGCAAGTTCTTGACAGAAAATGTCAACTGACTCATAAAGAACAGGCAACTGTACAAGACTAATTGGAAATTATTTACAAAGTATTCATTACATTGCCATCGTTAGACAATTAAGGACACAGTGAAGGAGCAACAAGGCTTCTACGTTTATGCAACCCCTGAAATCTTCCTGTGAGCAGCAGAGAACACATGGCCAATGACTACACAAACGTGTGGCCACTGCTGGGGAAACGGCAGCCTGGCCCTGGGAGGTGGAATGGTGCACGCAGCCCAGCAGTCCCTGAGAGCAGCTGAGATTTCAGCTGTGCTCAAACTCTGCTTTGGTTTGTGCAAAATATTAATCCTGTGCATGCCGCTTTGAGATGTAGTTTGCCTTCAGGAAGGAACTGTTGCTCTCTGCTTGGTAACACAACACTGGAAAAGCTTGCTAGAACTAGCAAGAAATAAGAGGTAAGCAAGGCATTTCTCATGAGCGCCAGCTACCCTCACAGGTGCAATGCAAAGGACTTTGCCACTGTTCCAAGGAAGTCATCAGCACTGTTGTACGTTTTCCACTCTGTGCTTGCTGAAGAAAGCTACCACTGATGAGCAAACTATCTGAACTCTACCCAAGCGGCAACACAGAGGAACCTTTCCTCCCAGGCTTGATGTCTGGAAATCGCTATCCACTAACAATATTGAGCATAACCCTATGATTTCATACGAATGCAAGTGCTTAACGGCTCATTTTCTTTCTCTTTCCTGCTGTTAAGTTCAAGCAAATCTGACAGCACTAAGAAACACCAAACAGGCATGCCCAAGATTAAAGACACCAACTGATTTCCCCCAATATGGTCGAAACACATTCCACACAGTCTTAAGATCAATTCTTCTTCACAGATTTCTATTTTAAAAGTTAAGTTGCCTGACTCTCCAAATCTAGCAGCAATGTAACATGAAGCAAATTAATTCAGACGTAACTAGTGGAAACCTGCCCTATCATTTTATAAGCCCTGCCTTATAGCAACTTCTGCAAAAAAAGCCAAGCACTTGGTACTGCCACTTGCCTAGAGCCAGTCAGTAGCACTTCAAAAAGGGCTGGGAAAGCAAGCTACAAACCAGGTTGTTTCTACTAGTCTAGACTTGTTTTTAGGAGAGGTAGGCAGGAATAGTCAATGAAAAAAGAATTAGAAAACATCTGAGATGTAAGTTAGAGCCTGGATGTTCTTCTCTATTCTTCCCTTAACCTCTGCAGCATTTTTTTTTCTTTGCTCTTGCAACAACCTTGTCAAGCTACTCACTTTTAAGAACTGGGTCCTGGTAGGCTGCAAAGTAGGCATGGCATTAGTCAGCTGTCATTAACAGACAAAGGAACTACAAACATGAGCCAGAAGGCGCCATGATTTGCTGCAGAAGTCAGGGAGATGCTTCACACCAGAACTTCAACTGCACTGCCAGTGCGAAGCCTGGTAGACACATTATCAACCTACTGGCAACACTCAAGTTACCTCAGCCTCAAGCTTTGCAGTCATCAGAAGCAGATACAAAGCCTAGCTTTCAGGACATTATTTCACTTCAACATTTCAAAATTTAACTGTGCAAGGAATAATATGCATGAATGGAAACTACACATATTAAGCCCAGAGAGAATTCACAGCATCTAATCAAGTCTCAGCTTAATCAATTTTTCTGCAGCCTATTCTAAAAGCTTTTCAGTTTGTGGACATGAAGAATACAGCTGCAGTGAAATGTGTGTGTAATAGTTGGGAGTGCAGTCCTTATCCCATAGAGCAAGCAACCAATTAACAATGAAGCATAGAGCACGAGAAGGGTTGAAAAGCCCTCACTGTCAGTTTATTACTGTTTTACGATGAATTCAAACACAACTTCTGGACTTTTTCTTCCAAATTATCCTCTCCTTTAAAAGCAACATTAAAACTCCATACACATGTATACAAAATTTACTATAACTTCCCTCTTCTCAGATTCATATAACTACAAAATTTAATATATAATCCTTACACTATGAAACACCTTTAGGGGTCCTCATGCTGCTTTATCATCTAAAGAAAAGAAAACTTCAGTTTACTATGTTCATGTTCATCACTTGAATTTTTAAATTTTGCTTACAGGGCCTTACTGAAATCCAACTTTTTGCATGTGGTTACACAAAAAAACCAAACACAAATAGTTCCATTGTCAAGATTTGAGAGTTTACCAAACTGAGCCCCTCCCAGATTCCTAGGACCAAAATTCAACTACGTAGAAAGGAGCAGGACAGAGGAATCAATCAGTTCCCCCACTGAGGACTAAGCTGATTAAGCCATAAAATAAGTCAAGGGATCCTGCCAACCTACTGCAGTTTCAGTAATTATCTTGGAAGAATCCACAGCCGAACGTCATGATTTTCCATAATTTTAAAAAGGGGGAACCAATTTCAAGAGATCTGCAGTTCCAGATAAAACACTTCCACTCATGTTTCTCTGCTCATGTAAAATCACATCTAAGGTTCTTCTCCACTGTTCAAGAGAATTTTGCAAACAAAAGTAGACAAACAGAGAAATGTAGACATCACCCAGAAAATGCCACCAAACGTATAAAGCAGAGGAAGATATTTTCCTCCCAATTTTCGGTTTCAATTTTTTATACGCATATTTCAAGCAAAGAGCTATTAAAAATGCGTCCCTCAATTAAGTTGCCTGTATGTGCTGAAAGCAGCTCCCTCAGAAATGCTTTATCTCTCAGTGGCATAGGGGAGTGTAGTCAATCACATTCATTATGTATCTGTGTGTGTCTTTTCAAGCCTATTACTAGATATCATTTGCCCTAAAACTGTAAAAAGCCATGCAGGCCTCCAACAAACCTATCCTACCAGCAGAAGCCTTTAATTTCCATGGATGCAGACCATGAGTACAAAAAAACATAATGAAGTGTCCCAAGGAAAAAAAGATTAGCTTTTACTCAAAATCAGACCGCAAGTTACCTGTTTTGATGAAGAAATCTACTGAAATTTAAGACTGCTTCAAAGCAGTAACTGAAATACAATACAACTGCAGCTATGAATAATATATAACCTACCTGATTCACAGCTAATCCTGGCCTCCATTTGAAAAAAATCACAGTAGCTGAATATATATGTAAATATATACACACAAAACCTTTTATCAGAGGTTAGTAAGTAACCGTGTTCCACCTGAGCTTAAAGACTCTAAATTGCAACCTGTGTTGACAAGTCTCTAACCCATCAGCTCTCAGGCTGGCACGGCAGTGGAAAACCTCAGCCAACACTGTTCAGGTGGCATTAGAATCTCATGTTTTCTGCTCACATGTTGCTCAGCTGAACAGTTACCTCTGACAGTGGTACAGTTTGCCTCTCAGTTAAGCATGCAAAATGTGCAAAACGGCAAGATGATCAAAATATCCCCTTAAATGCCCAACTGTACTGTTTCAAGAGACTGCTGCCAAAGCTTTAATACCACAACACTAATCTTACACATTTTCAAACGATACGAAAATTGCATTTTGTTGTTACACAGAGTATAACAGTCATTGGTCATTTGCATTCATTCACCCCAGCACTAGTGAAAAACTGGTTTCTGAATAGGTATGAGAAAACACAGCAAGTTTTGTTATCAAGTCACATCTCTACTCATCTTGTACTAGCCAGTGCATGGAAGGTAGGTGAGCAGAAATGCAACGATCTACCAATACACCCCATGTTTTCACATACACTGATATCATGCATATCTCAAAAATACAGAAGTTCAGACATGCAGCAAAACGTGTTAAAGCACTTCAAATACCTTCCAGATGATTATGAGTAATGTAGTATTTACTCAGACAAATCAAACCAGAGTAAAATGTTTTGTGCTTACACTTCAAGTTTCAGAAAAACATTATTTCTATGAGAGTACATAAAGTCCAATGGAAGGAATGCTCCACTGAAATCGGAAGCAAAAGACACCATTTAAAGAACTAGGAAAATAAGCACTGGTCAGAGTACTGCCTTCCACAGCTTCATAATAAATAACAAAACAGCAGGAACATGCAGACCTTAAAGTCAAGATTCATTTCTAGATTCATGACATTTAAAAAAACATTAAAAATCAAGAACAACCCTAGCTGACCTTACAACATTTGGGGTCTTTTTGGCTAAACAAATGTTAATTTATTTTAAGGAACACAGGTATTGTCAGAAAACATTATTTACAGAATGATTATCAGATTGATTACATAAAATACAGATGAAAATATACACCTTCAGGTTTGAGATAAGCCAAGCAAGTTCACTGCTGATTACTAAAGCACTTTGAATAAGGCGACAGGCACCAAACATCAAAATAGAATCACAAAACTACTGAAAGTAACAGACAAATCGGGGAAGGCAGGTGTAAAGCAAAGGTCAATGAAATTGGAATGATTTATGATTAATACTAGTATACCAGAAATCCTGGAGCTTCATTAAAATTTTATTTTACCATATGTAAGACTGCAAGGAATTATCTACTTCCGCACTGTGATTTCTTCAAGTACTGAGCAGCTGTTTTCTTAATGTATCTATGTAATGCTTTGTACTCTACATCTTACAAAATACATCACCAGATTTAAGTTCACTATTAGAAACTGTGCTGAAATCATGGAAAATCGCTTCATAAATCATAAGCGCAATAAAGTCACAACACCGCTCAGCTCCAGTTTTTGTAGTAGTTCTGCAAAAGGTGAAGTTTCAGAAAAGGGACTTTGATCCCTGGTTTTCGAACTCTGACCATGCATCATTCAATTCCATGAAGATCATTTTGGCATACTGCTCATAAGGTTGTCCTGTGGCCTAAAAACAAACAGAACGTATTAGAAGCATAAAAATATTAGGAATTGTGACTTGGGAAAGATCTTAGCATTTTATATTTGCTATCTTATACAACAATTTTAAACTGCTGTGTGAATACAATTTTGCAGACACACTGCCCTCCCCAGTCTGTTCCAAAGTTTTCAGGAGTATTTTAAACAAAGTCAAAGCCTTGGTTTCCTTACATTCCTTCCAACTTTCAAGGGCAATTCATAAATAACTGAAACTTAGCTAAAAACAGTTTTCCATGCTGTTCTTTTCATAAATAGTTTTAGTTAATATTAATCAGATCAAATCCAGTCATTTTTGGAATTGCTTCCTGACAGACCTTGCAGTAGTGTACAAGAATAAAATTTAAGCACTATTTAAGTAGACTTTTTTTGGACGGGACGTCTGAGAAAAAAAAATCTGTTCCTGACTGTGAATGACGTTAAGATTCAACATTAACAACACAGCAATTCCTGTGAGTTTGCCTCCATACTCACAATGAATGTAGTATGCTCCTGATTCCCTGTCTGTTTCACAGCAGCCCTGCCTCTGGGCCAACCCAGGCCCCATGATTAGTAAAGATCTAGTTCCACAAGGTGAGATGAATCATTTTAACAGGTTCTTTCTAGCACAAAAGGGAAGTCCCAGAACCCCCTCCAGCATCGTTCCCCTTCTCCTGTTGCTTGGATTTTGCCAGCCGCAGTACTTTATAGAACCTTTTAGGGTTCACTTTAACTCAAAGTGGCCAAAAATAAACCAAGGAAAAAGAAAATGCCTCAGAGACCTGTGTTCCGACACTGATGCATCAAAGGGCTTACAGAAAGCACCAGGAAACCACCACAAAGGTGGTGGAAACCACATGGCCAAGAACAGCAAAGAGCAGGTGGAAGAAAAGAAAGAACAATGTCTTATTTCTGTTATGGATACAAGAAGACATAGAACTTAAGACTACTGCTCACTGAACCACTAGTCAAGGAAAGGCTGAAAATTCAAGCCAGGCATATTGAACACTTATCTTTGTATCTAAAACACAGCCCAGAGCAATGACTCGGAACAAGAAGCTACCTTCATACACTGGGAAACATACTGGTCAATAGTTCTAAAAGACCTGAAGTATCAGCTAGTAGAAATAAAGCAGGTTCCACTCATCAGCATTAAACCTGCCAGAAGTCAGTCAGAATCCAGCAAAACTGGCTTTGGTGCTCAGTACAATCTTCATGGGATCCTTCATTTGTTAACACGTATCTGCTGAATTCTGTGCTGTGTCAGGCTGACATTAGAAAAGCAAGGCTGCAGCATCTGTCAGTGACCAGTACAGTGTGGTAAAAACAGTCTGTGTTCCTTCTAAAGGACAGAAGATCAGAGGAACACACTCACCTTATCTGGATGAACTACAAGCACTGCTTTCCTGTAGTACTTCTTTACTTGTTCAGGAGTTACTAGATCTGCCATGCTGACTGGTTTCCATTTGTTTTCCCCTTCCCAAAGCACTGTATGAAGAGTGGATATTAATGCTCTAATATTTCTCTCCTTCCCTTCAATCCATTCGAGAATCTGGGAAAAACAGAATGTATAGAACTGAATGCAGCACTGTAAGCATTCTCCATCTGTCCAGAGACATAACCTTCACCCTGTACAAGACTACACGATTAAGACCCAAGTACAGTTGTCTTGGTGCATTCAACCCCCAAGTCCAACTGTCTTACTACACTCTTCTTTCTGGTACTCAGGTCATTAGCCACCCGAAAGTGGTGTTTTGCATCTGCCACTAGAGAGTAGCTCCTTGTTACTAGTTTATTGCAGCAATTCAGTCATTGCAAGAGAAATTACTGAGATAGTTACATGTTACAAGACATTGTAGAATTAATGACGAGAATTGACAGGAGTCATTAAAAACATCTGCTACAATTAACATTAACTCCCTGACACAGTACAACATTAATTTACTAAAATTCTTCCTTGATTGTACAAAAGTTTCAGCCCATTTAGATTAGTGGTTAGTATTTACTTAAGCAACCTGCAGGGGTCCACAGACTACAGTGTTCTTTCAGATCTCCCCATGAAATTTGATTAGAATCACTGTCCATTTCACAGACTTTAACAGCAATATTCCAGCCACTGTGACATAGTGACCCAGTGTCTTCATTAACCACTGCATTATGTAGTATGAAGATCTCTTCCCTCTATCAACAACGAGTATGGTAAATAAAAATCTGTATTTATTTCCATTTATGGTGATTTGTGTTAAAAGCTACCCATGCAAGCTGTGTACACTCTCTTCAGGTAAGACACTTTGTGAAAACAAGTTTCAGCATCCTTCCAAAGTTCTTTTACAAACTTTTCTAAAGCACCATAAACATTAGAAAGTTGAAAGTGCATGAATATGTCATGTTATCAATGAGCCATACATAAAAAAAAGTCTGAACAGCTCATCAGGTAACACCCCGCAGACTAGTTCTATAGCCTGTCTCCAGAACTGCATCTTTCAGTAATTTCTTAGGACAGCAGTAGCACTTGTTAACCAGTAAACACAAGTAAGTGGTCATCTTGAAGACAGCTATTCTCACTTGCCTGTTTTTAAAAAGTGCAGTTTTGCATTATCAGCCAAATCCATCTTTTCTAAGGACACCTTTGTGAACACCACAGATGAACAGTTCTGGCTTCAAGAAACAGACACTGACAAAAACACAGATTCTTAAGTTCTTCAAGCTAGGCTAAAAGAAACAGGAACTTGTGTTCCACACATGTACTTTTTGTGGTAATGTCACTTGTTCATGCTAATTAACTTCTACAGTCATATGATTTAAATACAGATAAAATTTCATTCTGCTTTATTAGCTTGCTCTGTTAGTCACTGTATCCTTCTGCTCTGTTATCAGCAGTTCTAAGCACAAGCTCAGATTTACACTTAAATCAAAATAAGCGTTACACAAACCTTGAGTTTCAAGGGGTCCATATCTTTAGACATTTCTTGTTTTCTCATCTCAGCAATGGTTTTTGGTCCCTTTTTATCAGATTTAGCTGAAAACCCTTGATTAGACAAGAGATCCTCAAAGTCATTTTCTGAAACTTTTGGCTTTTGACCTATGAAAGGAGAAAAGCATTAAATGAAAAGATGCATAGAATAACACATAAATGGGGGAAATATATTGCACTTCAATACACCTGCATGACATTTCTCACTACCATGACAAATATCCTTCAGTGGCTTGATAAACTCCACAAGACAAACAGAAGGAGAGGAATAAAAAGGAACACTCACAAGCTTTCAGTCCAGCAGAACAGATAACCTTACATGCATACACGTGACTAAAGATTTGCATGTCCTCTTTTTTGAAAAATGGAGTAGGTTTGAGGGAGTACACATCTATCTACTCACAACTTTGGAAATGGTTCCTTTTTTCCCCACTATAAAGTAATTCTAACTGCTGTGCAGCAGTTTTTTTGAATGACCATATATTCAATATTCTAGTCAAATATATGTAGTTAACATTGAAGTATGTTGAAACTTATGCAGAATAATGAAGAAATAAAATATCAACATGAACAGTCATTATAGGACCTACAAATTTTAGAGAACTGTAGGACAACTGAATTCTGAAGATGCCTCTGGATGTAATCTAGTCTAATACCCACTCAGAACAGGGACAACTAGATTGATTTATCAAGTCCTCGTCCAGCTGAGGTCCACCTGTTTTCAAAGATGAGGAATCACAACATCTCTTGCCCCATTTCAGCATTTCATCATGCTAATTGAAATTTTTTTTCCCCCTGTTCTCCAGACTTGCCTGTGCTGCAATTTATAACCACTGCCTCTTCACCCTGTCACCTCATTTCACATACCAATCAAGAGAATCATTTCAACTTATAGAAGTACCTGCTGCTCGCTTATATGCCAGTTACACGGAGGCATAATGCTAATATCAGCACACCAGGGAAATAAAATTTTCCCAGAAGGTTAATGTAGGAGAGGCTGGGCCCATCCGTATACCTCTAGGTTTGGCTATTCAGTTGGAACGTCTTAAGGGACTGGTTCCAAGCATGATTCCACCTGCTCCCATCCCCATCCATCTTTGAAACACAAGAACTTCCAGTAAGTTTAACCTCAGCCTTTCTTAAGACTAGCTACTTCTTCAGCTAGGGACAACATTGCATCCTTTTACCCATGTATCACAAGTGGACTAGCATGAAGCAATGTTACCAACCATCTCTCCCTGGATAGATAATATTTACCTTTGTAACCTAGCAATACAAAACCAGTACCCATGTGGGTGAGTGAATATAGCCTTGAGACTTTATACCCAAACTGGCAAATATCTGCGCCATGGTCAGCTTGTCTCTGCAATATTCCAGTGTAGCTTTGCAAAAGCAAGACACCAGACGTGCCAAGCTCTTTTCTGATTTCTGTTGGACACAACCTAAATGTAAATAAAAAAATGAAGGTACAAGAGTTTCTGCAGCTAACAGCGCATGTGACTAACTTCACACACGCCATTGTAAGTAATGCCTTCAGAAAACTTACCAAAGCTTGGGGTTCTGACTCCTCTTTCTTCTCGTCCTCCAATAACACTGAAGTTTACTGTGTAATTGGGTTTTGCTGCTGCGCTGGATTTAGTCTGAGACTGCCATGAAGTAGTCTGTGGTTTTATGGATTTCTGCCACTGATTTCCTGGCTTCTGAGGGGGAGCAGTCTTCTGAGCAAAACCACTACTCGAGACTCCACCACTGGAGGAACCTAACAATAAAAACTGAATTAGTTGTTCAGCTTGGTGTCTGTCACATGTTTAATACAAACAGGACAGTTTGCTCTTGACATCAAACCACACAGTTTACAGTGATACACCTATACAAGAGAAAGCGAACAGAAAAGCGTAAGTTAAGAGTCTCATTAACAACTTGGATGGCAGGGACTAGAGCCATTACTGAAAGTCTTTCAGCCTCTTACAATTCAAGTTCTCAACTGTCAGTTTTAGCAGAAGCATTTGCTCTTGTCTGATTGGCCAGGCATGTGTAAGGCCAGGAAATAATCTGGCAGTGACACTAGTTCTGCCTCCCAACTCATTACACTGCAATGTCTGTTGATTACGCTGAGGACACTGAAAAACTAATTATATGATCAAGAAAATGTAGTATGTTGAGAATATTTTCAAAAGATTGCTTTGAAAGTCTCCAGTGGTTTCTTGCACTATTGTTTAAGAAAGATGAGATGATTATTCTACAGCAGCATTAGGAGGCAATGTTGCACAGAAATAAAAGAAAAAAATCAAAAAACTGAAGCCTGCAGCAGATACTGTTGTAATCACCCTGGTGTGATCTATAGCCCTCTGTGTATCAACACAATATTGACTCAATTTTTAGTATTCCATTTCCCTTCATTAAACCAGTATAAGTAACACTGCTTAGCAGCTTCACTTGCTGCTCACTTTGGGAAGAACACAGGGTCTTTTCTCCGCTGTACAAATTGAGCAGAATAAAGCTCTAACCTTTTAAAATCATTATTCAGCTTTTTTGTCTCACTGACGAGAATAAACTTGAGATTTTTTTATTCTAAACCAAGCCACCATTAAATTGCCGTTGACTGACTTCCTTTGGAAAGGTTCCTAGAAACTCAGTTCCCTTGACAAGTTGCATATACCCATTACAGGGATAAAACAGCATGATGACTAAACTTAGATACATCTAGATTTTTTGGAAGAGAAACATTTTATACCACACTCACGGCATCCTAAAACAGATTAAGACCTCTTTATTTTGGATGAATTCCCCAAAAATGGCAGAACACGAATTCAGGACTAGTGGTCAAATAAGGTTACACACCTGATACCAGACAGAAAGTATAATATGGATGAAATACTGACACTTCAAAGCCTGAAATCTTTATCACTTGGTCTTGGACAACAAACTTATGATGTCATCTCATTGTTTCTTGGAGGAAGGTGAATTAGTATTTGCATCTCCACAAGTTATTCATCAACTGCTGCTGCTTAGAATCTAACTTTCAGCTTAACCATATTCCATGTGTGGTCTTGAAATGCAAGGATCTCAGCTCTTTTTATTGCCCTGAATTCTTCTGCTGTTTGAGAACGCTGCAGGGCTAATTCCTGAGTTTGGGATGAATGTAACACCCTAAGACAAGTGTTGCTCTGTGATGTGTCTCATCTTCTATAACTTCCTGTGTACATCACTGCAAACTGACAAATATTCATAATACTCATGCTACTGGTGTACAAGTGTGGGCCTGATTTGTGCTCATCTTACAAACATGACAAATTTGAGTAGCACAGCTACAAAGGCCTATTGAATTCAAATAAAAGTACTGCATTAAAAGGAAAACAACTGTAGCTTTGGACCTAACAAAGAATTTAATCCTGCGTTCATTTTATATCCTTCACAGCACAGTATCAATGCTAGATGAGAAACCTCATACTCAGTTACTGAATCAGTGACATCTGGTTTCTCTTACCTTCTCAACTAGATTCTGAAGCATTAAGTATTTATACTGGTTCTAAATCACAGCTGTGGCTACCTTCTGAAATATTATTCTGTATGTTTCACACAATCTCTGTAAAGATTCAGTCTTTGCTTGTTATGTGTCTGCTCTCAGCAACTGCCTCAAGCTGGCTGCTGACAATTAAAAGGAAACACTTTCCTTTATATAAGCAGTTACTTTTATTAGTACAAGAAACAAATCAAATTGTACAGGCATTAAGCATAGTCTCTTAAAAGTAAGATCATACCTGGAAGACCAGATCCAAGATTGGCAAGATCTGCAAAAGGATCAAAGTTCTGAGATTTAGCCTGGCTGAAAGACAGACCTGAAGACACACTGGACTGGCTGCCTGTGGTAAAAGCTTGACCTGTACAATAAGAAAACGTACAATGTACTTGGTGTATGTGGAAATTGAGAAAATGAATAGAAATACTATTCCCATAACACCTCATGCAAACCTCCCTAGCATTCTGCTCCATGACATCTTTTACTATCAAAAGAATCACCATTATTGTAGGCAACAAACTATTTGGTTCCTCTGTTTTGAGCTTGTTCTGAAAAATTACACAAGTGCCTTAGTAAAGGGGCATTTAAGCATAAAAGCACGAAGTCCTTTAAGCAATGAAGCATGAAGACATGTTCAGCAATTTCAGGCAACCAAACTGACCAAGTCTGGAGTACTCCTTATTCCCTCTAACTGAAGAATTTAAATTCATAATACCTTCAAAGAGAGGCTTCAGCTGTAGTGGTGCTACACTGCTGGTTGCTGGGGAATCTGCCCAAGAATCCCATCCACCTAAGAGGTCTGGGTGGCTTGTAGAAGATGATATTTTAGGTGGCTCTGGTGTCAAATTCCCTACAGGAAAAAAAAAATATTATTCTTTAAGAAAACCACCAAAATAATGGATATTTTGCCAATAGCAATAGAACTGTGTACCACACTGTCAGCTACAATGGCCAACTACATGGCTTGCTTAAATATCTCCAAAACGCTGCCATGAAGACTTAAACAGGCCTCAGCAGGGTTTTACTACTGGAAATCCTTCACTTGTATTTGAAACATCCCAAGCACTTCATAGAGAATATATTTTCAAGCACAGGCAACGCTATGAATTTAGCAACGTAGGTCCCCTGGTCACAAGGACTAGCTAAGGTATGGCTTCAGCACACACTCCTGTTCCTGACAACACAGCAGGTAACCAGAAAGTAGCAGTGTCTCATGAAATGGTGCTCCATATCACTCAGCTGTCTGGGTGCTACACAGGTGGAGCCAGGTCGCTTCCAACTGCAGGTCTGCCTACCTCAGGCCTCATGTGACAAAGGGAGCTCTTGACAAACTAATAGCCCTTTTAGGTTCAACACATGAATGCATGCCATTAAAGAGCAGGATACAGGAAGAGTGATCTTTTCTAGGAAAAGATTGAGAGTCATTAGCTCCATGGATAAAAGCCGCTTTTCGATGTGCAAAGCAAAATCATCGTGCCAATTTAAAACAGACAATGAAACAGTCACACTCAAAAGGATGCAAGTGTGCTCCCACTAGTTTCTAGAGAGTGTCTCATCTAACGCAGGGTCATAACTGCCACCCCTTACGCTTGCAAATGATGTCCCCCTTTCTCACTCACAGGATAGTGAGCCATCCTCAGAATGAGAGGTCATAGGTAAGGAACACTTGAAACTGCATGTCAGATCTGAGCATTCCCTTTGAGCACAGTTTGCAGAGACTCACGGTGAAGGAGGACAGCTTTTGAATGTAACCACCCCTTCAATGCTGTGACAACAGTCAGTGCTACAGGGAGAGCTGGTATTCCAGCAAAATCAGCATGTCTAGCTGTGCTCTCAGACATTTCGAAGACCTACAGCTTGGGAAGCTAAGCCAGCCATCCTTACAAGAACAGTGACATTTAGATGCCTTGGTGTTTTCACTACATCACAGCTTTTCACTTCTCTCAGCTTCTCAACTTTACATTCTGAATATTGATACCAAATCACAGAAGCTATTTGATCTTATTTCAGGAAATAATTTGAAGCAAATTAAATATCCTTCCACCACCTCAATCCACTAATTCTATCTATACTTAGATCTTACAGCTGCAAAGAGAGCACACAAAATACTCTGCAACAAATGTTTGCCAAAAGCCTGTAATAAATCGGAGTCATCTCTGCTAAATGTGAAGGAAAACATCAGCATAAAATGCACGAAGTAGTCGCCCCAGTCTACTGAAGGTATAGTACAATTTTCAGCCCTTTCTGCAGACTTAAGCCTCATCTCCCTTGTCTCTGAAACCACAGAGAAAAAACAGTATGTCTTTGCCTCAGTATTCAGGACCCCAGCTATGTGCTACACAGCAGCGTCACTGGCTATAAACATCAAAGCACCCAAAAATGTCTAGTCATCAGTTTAGAAATTTGCTATGCCGTATGCCACTCCCAAACATTAAGTGGGCCTTGAATTAATATTAGTATTGATTTTTAAGCTAGACATATTTTTGGCTTACGATCTCTGCTCTTACAAGTTTTTCTACAGAGGAAATTTACAACCGCTTACAGGATTAACTGATAAAACCAAGTTGAATAAAATAACATTAAAGTAAACTACAGCTGAATGTATTTGAAAGACTGAGAACACACTACGGGAATCTGGTGTTTTATAACTGCTGGTTTAAGAGCAGTCAAGTTCATCACCTTCCTCGCTCTGAACAAAGCCTACTGCTATGTACAGCAGTAAATTCACTATGAATAGTACAAGCTCACATACATCCACTACTTTTTTTATCAAAAAAATCGGAAACAACGGAGTACAATGTGCAATATACTGAACAGGTAGCATTAATCACCCCCTGGAACTGTTTATTCTTATGCTGTATTCTTTCTAGTTGTACAACTTGGGCATTCCAATAGATTTTAACATCAAGAAATAGCATTACCAAGATGGTACTCTGACTCCTACATATTCTGAAGAGGTATAACAAGACAATACGCTGAATCCCTTATTTCTGTAACCTGGCACACTGGAGCTCATACAGACACGTTAAAGTAAAGGAGCAGAATATCTCAAGAAAGGATAAAACACGAAGCATAGCTAAATATTCCAACAGTTGAAGCAACTGAGATCATGTGGAAGCAGATCCATATGTGCTTGTCCCTTAAGTTCTTCTTTAATGTGCATATTTGTAATCCTTAGTCATACAGTGATAAACCAATGGAGGTCAGGGCACAGTTCTTTACTAACACTGCTCCAACTAAGCCAAGATGTAAGAATAAGTTAGCGGTAATCAGATCACATTTTACAGCTTCCCAAAATATGAGATCTGCGTTTTACTATATCCTACACTCAACTTCACATTAGATATTCTTTATTTAACTTGTCATCTCTACCGGAAATAATTTAATCACAGAGGACAACGGGATTTTCTGTGAACTAAGAGGCTGATTTAGTATGATGCAAGGGTTTTTTAAACCTCGTCTAAAGCCTGACTGAGAACACAGTCATCACAGAAACTAACTTCCACTCAGGGGAAGACTACACTGCTAACTCAGGTTTCTTTGATCACCTTCCGTATCTCCTGCTATCTTTTGATCAGGTCAGTTCATCCTTGCAGAGACAAATAAATACCCTCCTGACTCGACTTGCCTTAGAGAAGACCTGTTACTTGCATATCCAAATGAACAAGTCTTCTCAAAAATGCTCAATGAACAGATAACTACTAAGGAAAAATGGACACTCTACCAGCTACTGACAATAGCTTGTTTTTGCAAGTGTGGCCACTTAAAATCAGGTTATCAATTCTGAAGCGAACAGTCATCCCACCTACTAGCCTCTCTGCCAAAATACTACCGCTTTTCACAGAAAATTAAGTTACCTTGTTAATACAGCACCGTTTTAGCAGCAGCTGTTCAACATTTTCATTTTACAGGCCAGAATGCCTTAACAGACCAGGTATTCTTCAGGAACTACCTTTCCTACAAATTAAAATTACAGTTGAAACTCCTATGATTTTAAATTTGAAGCTACATTGAGAAGTACAAGCCCAAAATTCTAATTCTTGAACTTGTGTTCACTGAAACAGCTTTTCTCCTGGTACCTGTACAGGTTTAGTAATTGTTTACCACCAAAGAAAACTTGTCCATCACAAATTTAATTCTAGACACTAACTGCTGCTCCAATGGCAGATTCACCACATCTCATTGCTACCAATGAACGTTGACATTACTACTAATTTATTTTTAGAGTTAAAAATTGTTTCTCACTGTAATGACTTCATGTTTGTACTTTCTTCTGCTCTCTCAACACCATTCTTCCGAATATGTCATTTCAGAATATGCTTTCATTTGCCTTTTCTTCTACAGTTACTAGTTTTCACGTCCTTTCACTCACACTCACTCATTCATATTATAAGTATTATAGCTATCAATATTCCTAACTTCCTTGCTAAAATTGGTACCTGTAACTGGACGGAATGCTACAGGCTGAAATACATACTTCATTTCAACTAAACACATAGAAAAGCTGTCACTTGAAAGGCAAACGTAAAGCAGCATGAATGTTATCCCGATTCCCCCACTTACGCAGGGTTTTTAAAGCCTGCATAGCAATAGAGAAATATTGGGAAATCACTGTATAACAGTAAACTGAAGAGAAGATGATGGGTACATTTTAAGTATCTTTTCCCTCTGTTGACAGAAAGCTCCAGAAATTACATTAAAATAGCAGGTATGCTAATGCATTTACCAGGGTGCAAGTTATCAATCAAAATCAGAAAAAGTAAGCATAAAACAATAAGCATTCAAGTCTAATGTCAAAATATCTTTCTTTTTCTTCTGTACTCGCTCAAACTTTACTACCAGCTGAACATTTATGGCAGTCTTCTTGAGGTGGCAGGTAAACATTTAGAGAGCAGAAATTCACATTTACTTATTTTTCCAACATAAATTTAGTACACAAAAGGGTTCTCTGTCATGCAGGGATTGGAGAACCTCTGATAGGAGGACATGCTGAGGGTGCTGATATTGTTTAACCTGCAGAACAGAAGGACTGAGAGTGGGCAATCTTATCAATGTGTATAAATACTTGATGGGAAGAAATGAAGCAGACTGAGCCAGACTCTTCTCAGTGCTGCCCAGTAGAAGGACAAGAGGCAATGGGCAGAAACTGAAACAAAGGAAACTCCATGTAAACAGAAGCTTTTTTCTGTAAGAGTAGTCAAACGCTGGCAGAGGTTGCCCAGAGAGGCTGTAGAGTCTGCATCCTCAGAAATAATAAAAATCAGCAAGGACATGGTCCTGAGCAGCCCACTCTGCTTGACTGTGCTTTGAGCAGGCCAACTAGACAATCTCCAGAGGTCTCTGCCCCTGGAGGGAGACAGATTTTGGCTGAGATGACGCTCCACGGATCAGTATTGATCAAATCTTCTACTGAACAGAAAAAAATTATTATCTGTTTAGTAACCGCATGCAGTGACAACAATACCGTCATAATTAGAAGTGGCATAAAACTGGCAACTATACAAGTACACCACTAAAACATACAGCTATTACTGTACCTATAGGACAGAACAAAAATCTTGCAAAGGAAGCAGCAACTGGGATCTTCTCAGCAGAATCAACCACAGCTAGAATACAATGCTTAAACACACACTAGAGAGGCAATCAACTGGCTAGCCTTTTATTTCAGAGAAGAAGCCCTCATCTCAGCCAGGCTAATACTGCCATCTTTTTTATCCACTTTCTCTGTAGCTAAACTCAGACTGCACCACCCAGAGACAGGGTCAGTTAGGCTGACTGTCCAACAAGAAGAGGCAACTCAAAGCCACAAGCATTAAGCTCTGGGAAGAAAACGCTCCTGGATTCAGGATGAGGAGCATGATACCACCATTCCTAACTACCTCCAATTTATAAGTGGGGGTTTGTGTAGTAAGGTCTGGGCTGCTCGGTACTGGATACAGCCAGCTCCAATGGACCGACCGCAGGACAAAGCTGAGCCCCTAGCCAAGATGGCGGCATCTCTGAAAACATATGTTAAGGTAAAAAATGCTGCACAGTAGCTGTGAGAGGAGAGAGAAAAGTGAGAGAGAAACAGCCCTGCAGACACCAAGGTCAGTGGAGAAGGATGGGGAGGAGGTGCTGCAGGTGCCAGAGTAGAGATTCCCCTGCAGCCCAAGGAGAAGACCACAGTAGAGCAAATGTGCACACTGCAGCCTGTGGAGGACCCCACGCAGGTGGACATGCCCTGAATGAAGCTGCAGCCCATGGAGAGGAGCCCATACAGCAGCTGGCTCCTGGTGGCTCCTGGCAGAAGCTGCAGCCCCTGAGGGACCCATGCTGGAGCAGTCTGTTCCTGAAGGACCACACCCTGTGGAGACACATGTTCTTAAAAGACTGTATCCCATGGGAAAGACCTATGCAGGAGCAGGGGAAGCGTGGGGATGAAAGCACATAACAGAAGAGCTGTTACACATGGACCACAACTCCCATCCCTATGTAGAAGGCTCACGCTTTTCTTTGAAAGTCAGATTTAAAAAGCAAGGCTTCTCGCTGTACCACTCCACCATTTTCGCAACAGTGTTTCTCTTTAAAGAATGATCATGCTTAGACTCTTTACTTAGTAACACTTTGCAAATAGCATACTTAGGATGGAGATATGGGAAGACCAAACATATCACAAAGCTTTGTACTTAAAGATGAATAGATTTTAAAATAAACGCATGAGGAAAAGGCTTCACTAAGAGTACATCAGAGAAATTAAATGAAACAAATAAGATTAGAGTATTACATAATGTAGTCCATAAGTGTATTACCAGAATTGACTCAGGTTAAGAAGGTCCACACTAGCCTCAGTTTGCATTTTAAGAACTGGCTGACTACAATGTGACTTGCTCATTTCTTTTACAAGGCTTCCAGAAAATCTTTAAAATCTGAATACAATCAAAATAACATTCTGCTATCTAGAAAGTAAGTTTGCAGGTATTTGCGTACCTTCAGTTCTAAGAGCCCTCAGAGGAAAGTTCAGCTCCTAGCAGAAGGTTAGCAGTCTTAGAAATTCTCTCACATCATAAATATTAGCATGATATTATACAGAAACCCTTGCTACTTGGTGCATTTGTATCTGCGTTCCCAGAACGCAGAGCTAATTAAAACAGCAGTCACAACAAGTGGATCTATTAAGACACTAATCCACCTTGACTAAGCTGAAAGACAAACGCACAGGGCAGCAGAAACTGTTGAGAAACAGAACACCAGAAGCATACTTGCCTAAATTTAAGAAATCCGAGCTGGAAGAAGGTGGAAGTGAACTGTGTGTGGAAGGAACTGTACTAGCTGTAGATGTTGAGCTTGGGTTCAGCAAGTCCCCAAAGAGGTCTGGACCAGACAGGGCTTGATTCTCTGAACTTGATGACATTGTGAATGGGTCAAAAGGATCAGCTAAAAAAGAAGCGGAAAAGAACATTATCTTAAGACAAATTTTAGAATAAATAAAGTTGAAAAAGTCTTACTCCTCTGGGGGCACAGACAAAAAATAGAGTTCACGCTGGTAACTGCAGCAGCCTTCTGAGCATTTTTCATGGCAAAGAGTCACCACGGGGTGACTTCCTCTAGACATCTGTACTTTCACTTTGGTACAAAAAGTATTTCAGCCATACACAATAAGAACAGCTATGGTTTCAAACACAAATCCTTAGCAAGGCTGAATACATTCAATAACATTGTTAATTTCATCCATATAAGACACACCTTAAATTTGAGTGATCATCTGCATACAAACAGAAGAATTACATTTGTTAAATGCTTTATAATGCCAAACCTCCAAAGAATTTATACAGAGCAGACTATTAAACTACTAAAAAGAATATCAAGTAAAACATTCATACTACCACTTTGACTTGAAGGCATTGGTGGCTCTGGGGTAGAAAGCACGTTAACTCAAGAATGAAAACCAACAGAAGCAAGGCTTTCCACACGTCTCTAGTGATCACAACGAAGCAAAGACTAACTGGAGGAGTATTTATAGTCAGCATAGGGTAACGTGACAGCCAAGCGGAATCACGAAGCAAGATCTTCCCGGTTCTGCTGCCCTCTAGGGTCAAAACCCTCCAGAGCTCAGAGACTCTGGCCAAACACACTGAGAAGCCGCAAGGAGGCAATAATCCTGCCCCAGTGCCCTAGGTACCTCCTGGGGTGAGGACTCAGTGACACCTCAGAAAACAGACCCTGGATTGTCACGAAACTATCTTACTACCGCACCGCATGCACACAAAACCTCAAGTACAAGTTTGATGTGCAAACTGGAACACAAGAGTGGCCAGGCATTCTCCCTTCTGCAATTATCCTTCTCTTATCTATTTCAAAGGTAGAATGAGATACATACATGATTACTTCCCAGGTGTTTTATGGAGTAGGCATGAGAAAGGCAGAGTTAAAGAAAGATAAAGTAACAAAGCTCCTCCTTTTTAGACTTCTGCCTATGTAAAAAAGGTAAATTGATTCCTCACTGACAACAGTAACAAAGCTCAATACTGAATTGCTTCAAAAGAAATAGATATTTGAAATCACCCACATGCTCTACAAAAACACTTTGCAGATGTATGCAGATTAAAGATTTTAGTCCAAGTGAATTATCTTTATGCAAGTAAACTAAACATTTTAACAGTTTCCCAGATTATTTGATTTATATTCCCATAAATCTTACTGAAACTTCAGGCAGCAAACTTCTGTTCCCAGAAGTTCAGTCACACAACAAAGAGCTAACTATCCACTAACAAGAGCAACAGAACCTTCAAATTAAAACACCTTGTTTTAAATGCCAAATAGACAGCAGTATGTAACATTGTCTTTCAGGATACCGACTTGCCAACATCATCAGCAAAATCAGCCACAAAACACCTTTTAGTATTATTGTTATCCTACCAGTGTGAACCGTAATCTGCAGGATTTCCATTGGCCTAGCAGTCTTATGTGATTATCACTCAAAAATCCCACACAGACAGTTGACCTAAGCAGCACAGCTCTCTACCACATCTAATGCTACTACTTTACATAAGGTGCAAGAAAGCAGTAATTACAATTCTAGCCCTTAGCAAGAGAAGTTATTTACGTGTGGATTTAGAAAAGAAACTAGCATGTAACGTTAGTATGGGAAAGCTATTTGTTCTTTAAGAATATTGCATCTCCTTTAAACTCAAAATTTGATACTTTTCTGTTTACATGGTTTAAAGCTAATAGGATATTAGCAATATAACAAAATACCTGGATAATATACAGCAATTTGTCTTCTTCATGCAATAAAAACACCTATTCAATGCAGATTCTTGCTATAGACCAACATGTATTCAGTGTACAGATTAAAACATGGTACTCATTTTCTACATACAATGCAAGAAGCAGTTTTTATCTGTTGGCCAGTCGAAGAGTACTGATACATACCTGAAGACATGACTGCTGCTGAAGATGTATCCTGAGTAGCAGCTGGACACTGACTGCTGAAAAAGAAATCTGTTCCTTGTCCAAGAAGATCTCCAGTGTGCTCTGCCGAAATCTGTGATGCATTACCCACAAACAGATTGTTCAACAAGTCTGCATTACTTGATGAAGAGTTTATTTCTGAGACAGGTTGTTTCGGTTCTGGTGAAATATCGGAGTCTAGTCCCAGTAAGTCTACATTCTCTTCAGGAGGAGATTTTTGTGCAGATGAAGATTCAAAATTGGCTTCAAAAAGCAGCTCTCCTTCTGGAGTAACAGTGTCTTTTTCATCAACAATTACTGCACTTTCTTCACCTGAAAATGTAGGGAATTCCTCATCTGAAGGATCACTCTCCTCCCTGTCATCAGACAGTTGAACATGGTCATTTTTAGATGAACTGTCTTCTACTCCACTTTCCGGACTTTTTCCTTCTTGAATAAAAAGAAGGAACAGCTTTAGATTAACAGGATTCCTCTACCAACTAGCATAAGAAGTCTTCAAGGCCAGACTGGATGGGGCTTTGAGCAACCTGGTGTAATGGACAGTTTGCCTGCCCATGGGTTGGGTGTTGTAACGAGATGATCTTTAAGATCCCTTCCAACCCAACCCAAACCTTTCTTTGATTCCATGATACAACAGACTTGTATGGTGAGATCATATGCAATAAATCCTTAATTAATCAAACTTCACAAAAGAATTGACGAAAAATGAAGAACTAATTGTTGCCTACCACCTCTTTGCACGGGGTGGGCAAAGGGGCAGCCCACTATCATACCTGCCACTCTGCAAGAGCACTTATTACGAATTTTTTCAAAATGAGACTGGCTGGGACTTTCACCTCAGGACATCATACCACTTACGGCTTAGAAGATCACTCAGTAACCGCTGCTTCACTCAACGACAGAATTCAATGGCAGCATAAGCTGCCATGAGTTTTTGACAGTTTTGCCAGCAAAGCAGAACCCAGAAAAAGGACTTACATATTCACTAAAAAGTTACATTTTCTCAAAATTAGCTCAGCATTTACGTTGCACACAATAGCAAAAAGCATTACTTGCTGTTTATCCAAATGAAGTGGAATGACCACTTGTTAACCTGCAGATCTCACTCTTTAAATAGGTTTTTCTCATGGCTTTGTGAAATAGTGACTTTTGCTGCATAAGAATGCTTAAGCACTTATTGGAAAGCGTACAACAAACAGTTACTCCAGAGAAAAACCTGTACCTTTCCAGTCCAGGGAATGAAAGAAGTTATTTGCATCAGTACTACTGCTGTGTGAGGATTCTGTCTCAGTAGGTGCACTTTCTGAAGACTGCTCCAGCTGGGATGCTTCTGCTTCATATTGTGCAGTTGAACCTGGTTGTCTAGGCAGCTCCGGTTTCCCTATAAGATTTTAAGCCAGAACCCTTAGAGAGAAACTTCTAAAACTCAATCCCAAGTCATAGCAGCTGGTATTTAATTTGTGGACAGACTGCTATAGCAAGACAGCTGTCTCAAAGTATCTGTTATTCCGCAAAGGCAAATTCTCACCCCCAAACCCTATTTGAAATTAGCATTATTAACTTTGTTTCAACTGCAGAAGTTGGTAAGAGCCTATTTTCAACTATAACATTAAATCAAATCAAAGTCATAGCAAAACACTCAAGCATTCTATTTACATTGGTAGGAAAATGTAATTAACACCTCACTTGTACTAACCACCCCCTAAAATATTCAAGAGCTATGAACAACATCTGCAATAAGGAACACATCAGAAAAGAGTAAATGCAGCTATAGAAAACACCCAGAGTATAAAGCCAGAGAAGAACATGGAGCTGTTAAACATCTAAAAGGAGTTAAGTAATACACTCCATGCTGCGATTAACTGCTCCTTACACAAGGGTATACATAATACATAATAATAATCTTTTTTTACTGAGATCAGACTTTAAGTGACTCTTGTGTAAGACTGAGTTGGGCTGAGTTACCTGCTGCTGTATCATCTCCCAAAAAAGAGGACTCCTCAAGGCAAATAAGAAGGCTCACTAAATTAGCAAGTGTTCATCCACTGTTTGAAATGAATGGGATGAATGGTTGGGAGAAAGCTATTTGTCTGAATCTAAATACCAAACCGCTACAGCACTTTTCTACCCTCTTTTACATACTCTGCTGTAGCTTATAGAGATGCTGAAAAAATAGTCTGTCTCAGAAAACATACACGAAAGATCATGATCAATGAAATAATGCAAATTCAATTTTAATAAGGCAAATTTTATAAAACTAGTTCACAGCACTTGCTTTTGTTCTGTTCCCTTCCCACCAGTTTTAAGAAATATTTTCAATGGAATTTGAATCCCTTACATTTGATTTATCAATCAGAAAACGAAAGCGTCTAAAAAAAAGAGTAATTTTTACAAATCACTATCAACGAAACACTTCAACTTCAGTGAGCTCAGAGTTGTGTTCACAGTAGGATTTTTAAAATCTAGATAAACTAACTGAAATAGAAAATTACCTAAACCATAATACAAATCAAACATAGCCTGCTAAAAAAACCATCAGACAGCAGCAACTACTTTGTATCTAAAGAAACGTAATTAAGATGTACCATACTAAGAGTAGAGAGTAAGATCACATGTACTGTGTATTAAAAATCACTGCAATAATCTCCATCATGCTTTTTATCCTTCAAGGACAGACAAGGCTTAAGAGCTTTCATGAAAATGTCAAAGCCAATACTGATACGAGAAGAAAGATGCTGAACAGTATTAACTGGAATTAATGCAGTCATCTACAGATGAAGCACAACATATGTATTATTAAAAAATCAAACGTGCTAGATCACATTAGGAAAAGTTGAGAACTTGAATTACAACAGTGAATTTTAAGTGAAATTATAATGGTGTCAGTTTAGCCAAATGTAGGTCTTTCAAGGCATTTTGCCTACAAATCCTGGCTGTCACAATTCCATTTCCTAAAATCCCTGCAAAAAGCATATTCATAGCTTTAAAGCAAGTACATGTATTGACAGTGGAGGTAAGACAAGGATAATTATAATCCAGTATTGGAGGATAATTTATAATTCTTCACACAATGCAAATTATTAAGTGATATTTACAAAAAACACCTTTTAAATGTCTTTCAATTAAAGGAATGTCAGAAATGAAACAGTAGTCTCAAACTCTAAGTACATTAGGAACTTAATCATGTTTTCTAGTTTTTCATGAGATTTATTACCAAATTTTGATAAAATCTCTTGTTGTTCCTCTCGGGTGGAGAAAAGGATCTTGGGATTCAATCCCTTTATATTCATGTTATCCCACGGTGGCTGTTCACAGCTAGGTCTATCTCTGGGCTCCACCTCTACTTCCAGATTGACTTGAAATAAATCCGGGTATTTTTCTTGTATGTCACAGGCATCCAGATCATACCTGCAAAGATGCATACAAGTAGACTCTTAATACTGATGGCTAACTAGATTAAATGCACTGCAGTCCAAGATAGAACTCTAAAGCAATTAGCATAAGGCTTAAAACATACTGTATTTCATTACTTTATTTATATAGTTTAAACAGGTGGTATTTTCGTACAGAATTTTTTTTGTATTATGAACAAAACCTTCAATTTCCTTGAGGTGAAGAATCTTCTTATTGCAATCAAAGTCAGCTACTTCCTGCACTGACTGCATTTCCTCCCCCCACCATATGTTTGTTTGGCAGCTTAGACAGTTTCAAAGAAAACTTCTTCCAGTCTCCCACAAAAGGCTGTCAACATACTTGGCAAATTTCACAGTGGTGGCATTTCGGGGCACAAAACCTGTGTGGAATTGGATCTGAAACATCTTCATTGAAGCCATCTGTTGAAAACAAAAAATATGCAGGGAAACTGCATAAATCCACATGAACAGTATGCACAGTATTCCGCCTTTAATATAATGCAAAGTATTTTCAGTATTAAAATATTTTAAAATTTTGTTTTGCTACCATTTCAGTTTAATTCCTTATATACTTTGTCTTTAGAGATTTAAATGCAGTTTAAGACAGAACGTAGATAAATCTATTACCACCAGAAACAAGCCAAAAGACCTTGAACCAGATACCTCTCATCACTAACCTCAAACGGGCTACCAAAGTCTGTTCAGTATTTCCAGACCCTGTTCTAGAGGCTGAAACTGCATGACCCTTATTACTTTTCAAAGTAACATACTAACATACACTCAGAAAACCCCGCTGTGCAATACACTAATGAAGAAATGTATGTCATACACAAAGGAGTCCTGTTCAGAACAGTTTTAAATGTAGCACATTTAAAAAAGACACTTCATAAGACATGCAAAGTCTCCTGAGCAACTTCGCAAGTCAATCAGTCATCCGAGACAGAATTATAGGGCCTTTCCAAACTGATTCATTATAACCATTCAACTTTCCCAACTCTTTCTTCTCTTGATGGAAAAACTAATTCTCCACGACTGATCAGTATGCAAGAATCCAGAAAATTCTACTAGAGAAGACTCATGTAGCTCCTGGTCTTGCACAAATATAAATTTCAGCAAATTGATAAATTGACAATGTGTTTGTTCCTTGGCTTTAGTTACAACACATGTGGAACAGTCTTGCCAATCCTTACAAAGCAAGTCATACAGTTATGTCCAGTAAATATGATATCATAAAATTGAATTATGAAAGTTTTCTTTGTAGATGAGCATTTATTGAGCATTGTAACCAGAAGACAACAGGCAAAGCACTGCCCACAGATTGAGGGAGGTGATCTTTCCCCTCTAACCAGCACTGGCGAGGCCACATCTGAAGTCCCATGTCCAGTGCTGGGTGAGAGTTTCTCTGATCCATCCATTCCTACCCTGTACTACATATGAAAACCTGAACACCTTATTAAATCAGTTTTCTTAATCACTTGCTGTGCAAGACATTTCCTAGAAGATAAACTAAATCCTCTCTAAAATTAACTGTGAGCAAGTGGGAGACATTCACAATGTCCAGCTCCAGGCACTTAATAGCAGTATTGAAATGTGGTGGTTGACCTCCATAAGAGTTCTGCAGAGCTTCAGTGGGCAATTTAGAGTGCATAAAACTAAGGACACATTGAATATTGTTCCACCAAAGGTCCAAACCAGGATCATCACACTATCGATGTATCATGTGTTACAGCAGATGGATGAGAAAATTCTAGTTTCTTCCAATTAGTGAATAAATGCCTGAGAAACCCCAGCAAAGAAACATCAGTGAAACTGAGATTGCACAAGGACTATAAGCTAACCTTGGCTGAATTTTCCTCAGTTGTATGCCTTCTTTACTGATGGCCTTGAACCACACACTAGTTATTTTTGTGCATTAGAGAATCATTTCACTGAGCTTTCAGTTTTAGGATGCTCTGAAAGATCTGGCCCATAGCACTCTGAGGACATTAAGAAAGTCTTGAACCTCTGCAACCTGACAAGACATGATACCCACCTTTCTACACACAAAGTATAAAAAACACAGGGAAAACCATTTATTTCAGTAATAGTAGATATGTGTGAACATGCTTTTTTAGCCCAAATGTATGGTAATTGTCCGAAGAACTCCCGGATCAATTTTCACAATGCTCCGAATTATCCTTAAACTTTGCACTACCCCTTCCTATCTTCTACATGGATATCCAGGTTTAATTTCACAGAATCACAGAACGGCAGGGGTTGGAAGGGACCTCTGTGGGTCATCCAGTCCAACCCCCCTGCCGAAGCAGGGGCACCCACAGCAGGCTGCACAGGATCTTGTCCAGGCGGGTCTTGAATATCTCCAGAGAAGGAGACTCCACAATCTCCCTGGGCAGCCTGTTCCAGTGCTCCGTCACCCTCAGAGGGAAGAAGTTCTTCCTCATGTTCAGACGGAACTTCCTCTGCTTCAGTTTGTGCCCCTTGTGCTGTTGCTGGGCACCACTGAACAGAGTCTGGCCCTGTGCTCTTGACATCCACCCTTAAGATATTTCTAGGCATTTATAAGGTCCCCTCTCAGCCTTTGGGATACTCATCTGGAGAAAAAACAACATGCTTTTTTCTTACAAATTTGAAGACAGGCCTCATTGTCAAGTTTTTTTTGTGATCTTGCAATACATTTGCATCCGTAGTTGAAATAAAAAAAGAAACATGCGTTCTTCCCACAGGAACAAAGACCAGTAAGAAAATTCACTACAAAAACTCAGCCTGGCTCTAGAAATAGCGTACATAACCACATGGATCTTTCTAACCTGTTCTGTACAGGCAGTTCCTGGAATTCCACTTTTCTATTAATTAACATTTTTCCTTTGGTTGCAGTTTGTATGTGAATAGTTAAAAAGTTCTGGCTTGTTGTGCAACTCACCAGATAACAATCACTACCTCAAAAAACTGGCTAGAGGCTTTCCATGCAAATATAGTAACTATCGTTGCTGAAGTAATTTCCAGAAAAGATTACCAAAGCATCTACATGCAGGGCACTAAGAACAGACATACTAGGCTTGAAAAGGCTGAATTCCCAAGTGCACGAAACCTCACACATTTCTTTGAGCAAAGAATAGCAAATAAAGCGACGTACTTTATGAGAACACAAATACAAGTATGACACAAAGGTGTAGCAAGAAAAAGCAAATCCTCCACATAGGCTGTTCAATTTATCATTACCTTGGCTTGTAGTCGGCCTCCTAGTGTTGACCTGGCATGATAGATCACAATGAGAACATCTCCCTGGACTGTTATACCTAGTGGAATTACTGCTTTCCCATCTTCGGTTTTAAACTCCCTGAAAACATAACCACGATTAATTTTGTTTAAAAAAAAGATATTGTATTACCTTATGTTTCATTTGGTTTCTCCCAGGTGTTCAATATCAACCCATAAAAATCTGCTTCAGGTTCTTAATACAGAGAAGGAATTAGCTCTGAATGATTAAAACTTAAAAGCTGTTCTAAAAATAAATAACAAGATTAACAGGTGCCTACAGCAGCGCAACAGACATATTTAGACTCATAGTTCTCAAATCAAACTTGGGAGAAACATGTCTTCAAGGAGCTGCTCAGAAATGCAAGAGACAGGATATTATCAAGAAAGCTGTTCTATAGAAAGGTGCAGAGAGAAACTGTAGCTGCACTGCTGTGGTATGTTAGGACTCCCATTGAGGGACAGTGGTGGACAAAGAGAGGTGGAAATGTTATTAAAACACCCCACAGTTGCTTCTGTTCCTGCTCTCTTCAAATTAATTCAACTCCTTTCAGGGCTTGCATTTACAGGAAAGCTAGAAGGACTCTGGTGTTCTCTCATCTTTCCTCTGTCTGTGACTATCTACACCTAGTACTGCTAGTACCATTTGCAGTTCCTGTGCTGTATTACAACAGAAGACACCAAAGCTGTACAGGGGCTAACAGGCACTCTCTCTACAGCTACTGTGCCTCAGGGATCCTTACTGTTTCCATGACTGAGACATCACGTTCAGTTCAGTATTAGTACATCAAGGATGAATCTTCCTCGTTTACACCACACACAGTGAGAGGAAAAAGCGTCTTGCCAATCTCTGCCTCCCAGCACCCACTGTGCCAAGCCCACCATCATCCTCACTTTCTGCAGGAACAAATCCGAGCTGCTATTATAACCGCGTTGTCTCTTCTCCATGATTTACCTTTCAAGATCAGCTAAAGGGAGACAGAGGAGCCGTTCCATATGTTAAAGAAGCCTTCTGATCAACTGGCACATGCAAAATCATGCTTTACCCTCACAGTAAGGACTCCATATTTAAGTCAGTCTAGGAAAATGAAATGTGCTGTTTCAGAGCAAATCGTAACCTGCACTTACTTCATTTTGTCATATTCCTGGGAGGTAGTGGTTACTCTCTCATCTCCCACATAAACTTCACAAAAAGGCCTGCAGCCATTACGCTGCTTACTGAAGAGAGGAACTGGAGTCATGACGATCGATCTGACAAGGATGGGCTTGCTGTGAGGAATAATGGGTTCTTCAGCCATCATGTCACACATGTATTCAATGTATCTGCAAAACCAAAAGGTACTCATTAAGACAGAGAAACAAATTCTAAAAATGCGTGCACACAGATGGGAGTTACTTCTGTTCATATCCAGCCACTGAGCAGTGACAAATGATAACAATAAAACACTGGGAACACTTAACAGCACTTCCAGCAAACAGATTTTCAAATCTGATAGAATTTCACAAAAGGAAAATGAAACATGGACAAATATTTTATGATCCCTAGCCAGCCTCTCAATTTAAGGACAGCAACACAGTTTCTGTACAAAAGCCTGATGGCTGAATCACAATAGAAAAATATACTGCCCAGAAAACAGAACACAGCACTGCATATGAACACATCTGCACCTGTGTCCCACCTTCCAGACAACTCTCGACCTTGCCTTACATCTGTAGCTTTATATATAATCACTTGTAAAACAAACCAGCCACTGTTTCCAAAGGCCTTAAAACACTGAGCTAGAACTATTTATTTTGCATGTTGCACATAAAGGATCAAAGTTGCACAGTAGTTCTGAAGCTAGTAATGCAAAGCTTCCTAAATGCTTCACATTTATCCTTATTATCTTGTACAGGACCCATTAAATATACTCACAATAAATCTGTAGAATAGCATGATCTGTCATTCATACTTCACTAATCCTTATTTCTCACCTTTATAAATCTAATCCTTTTTCTAAGAAACACCCTTACTACCAGTGTCATTTGCTACTGAGACTTCATTCTTATGAGGTCTATCAAATGAAATCAAATAATCAGTTTGAAACATTTGTCAAAGTATATGAAAGTCACCTCTGCATGTACTCCTTTAAAAAGGAGAAGGCATTCTTACCTAAACAGAAAAGATTAACATAAATTATTATTGGTGTTTCCACAGAACTTTCAGTGTTCTGACACAGTAAAACCTATTATAACAAACTAGTAGACATGCAATAAGTCTTACAGATGTGAAAGGATTTTATATTTCAGAGAGCATTCAAAAGAACTACATGCCCTTGTTTTCAATCCTAATATTTCTTCATAACAGGTCATACTTGACTCACTTTTGATAAGAGCATCATGAGTAACTTAAGGGTGCACAAATTCAGAACTACTTTCTCTACTCATGATACATTCGTTTTTCCAAGTACTTTGCTGTTCTAATAGACACTATTTAAGTAATTTATCTTCCTAAAAAGCATTCTGTAAAAATAGTAGCATATTCACAGTTGTATAGCTACTTGCTTCAACAGTACCCTACAAACAGACTGATACTGTACCTTTTATGAGAAGGCCAAATGCCAGGAGGACAGCGTTTCATACTGAACATATAAACTGCAGCTTCAGCAGTAGTGAAGAGACGACAGAAACACAGAAAAGAACAAACTACAACAGCAGACGCTGCTCTTCCATCCTACAAAAAAAAAAAAAAATCGTAACTTTGTTATTACACCTAGTGAAAAAAGCATTACAGGAGTTACTGAAAAACATGCTATCTCCTTATTCAACGTAATGAAGTCCAAGGTCTAGTGTAATCGTTAGATCTGAAGCCTGCATCTGAATGTGAAATGTTTTCACTTGATTTCCACAAGATACAAAAGATACTACATATCTGCTTGCTCAGATGTGAATAATTGCTTTAGGTTAACACTGTTTGAAATTATGAGTTGATGTTTATCACCTTACTATCATTAATACCCATTCTTAAGTTTGTTGCCTGGCTGATATCTGAAACCCCACTTCAGTGCTATTTTTGGCTGATAACCACAGACTTCTGCTACAAGGTAAGCCTCCAGATTCAAAAGAACTAAGCCATCCTTAACTCTCTAATCTTCTGACTGAAACTGCCCGAGATTAACAGCTTGCCATGGAACTAAGAGCAGGAATTTGAAACACTGAACCTCTTTCTGAAGGGACCATGGCAACACACATCCCAGATTCATCCCTACTGAAGATTCAGAAGAGGTAACAGTTGACAGAACAGGACCTCTCAAGTTTTTTTGCTAGCAACATGAAACAGACTTTTTTTGTAGTCATTTGGCATATGACCGTGGAAGCAGGAAGGAAGGAAAAGTTTTTCCTCTACTTGTTCTAACAGGCATTTCCTTCACAGCCAGGCTTCTATTCAACCATTACTTAGATCAATGAGAAGGTCTGCCAGCATTGTCAGAGCCAGATCTTTTAAGAGCAGTTCAGCAAATCAGTATTACTAATGCTGGTGTAACTAGCAAGCCCAATTGACTTCCAGAAGTCACTGCTAAACTAGTCTATGATTCTATGGGCTGGAACCCTCCTTTCAGTTAAACTTCACACAGATGGAACAAAAACATGGTTCCTACCCTGAGACACCTACACTTAGGACAAAACATTCACGAATACAAGGGAAGAATGAAACAACATTGATCAGCACGACAAGCAGTGACCCATGGACACCTGTGTTACAAGCCACCTCCAAATCAAAGCACCACACGAAAGGGAGAGATATCGCACAAAGAAGTCAGCAAGCAAGTCACAGCAAACCCTTTGCAATTGTGGCATGAAGTCAGAGGACAACTTTATAAGACTGTAAAGACCATTTTACAACCAGAAATACAGCATTCAAAACGAAGAATATCATCTTCATTAGTAAACAAATCTGATGACAGAACCTTGCACTTCAGAAAGAAGCTTGGTAAGCTGCAGAATGGGAGCAAAAGAAACACTCCCATACAGAGATGAGACAGTAAAAAATTCCTTTTTTCCTTGTATGTGTTTACAACAATGATGGATCTTCGCTACAAAAATGAATAAACCTCATGCATAAACAATCATTAAAGCAGCAATAAAAAAAAAGTGATTGGAAAAAGCTAGATTTTGAACGTAAGTTTTGTCCCACTGCCTCAAAAATCTAGACAGAGGAGTTTTGTGTCTAAATTAATTTGAAAACAATTATCTTCACAAAATAAATTAAACATAACTTTTTTGTGTGTGTGTAACCATCTTATGTTGGTTCATTTAAACACAGGTGAAATACAGCTATCTGAAGGAACACTTAAGCACACTTCAAGAGCTGCAGCACATCGATTTGCAAGTCTCTTTGCCATTAAGTTCCACCAAGATGATCTTGTATCCACACCTTCTTAAACCTGTGCAAGTTTTCAAGGATGATCACCACTGCATGGCCCCAAATAATTACACAGAGCGACATGTTACTGCAGATATCCAGGAGTTACCCCAGCCTCTGGCATACATGCTACAGTCTTGCCATACCAACAGCACAGGATGCCAGTTAAAACCAGATCCCAGTCCAGAAAGACTTAACTGTAGCTGAAGCAGGAAGCTGCCATTTAAACCTTGTTTTCAACAGTTTGTTCTCAACTGGATCACTCAAATTACAATATAGAAATTAAACAATTCACTGCATTATTGCAAATCTCTACAGCAAAGATCAGAAGTGATAGAGGGGATTGTAAGAAATGTGAAACTATAACAAAAAGCCTTAATATTTTCTAGTTTTTAGTAGTCTTTAGTACTGTAACTTGTATTCCTGCATGCATAGTAATCTAACGATGTAACTGTTACACTAATCCCTGTTTTCTCATTAAGGAAAGTAGTGGAAGGACACGGGCACAAGCTATCACTTAGCCGTTAGACAAAATAATTAAGTGAAGCAAAAGTGGTCTTGGTTCTCAGCAAATAATTGGGATAATTGCAGGATAAAAAGAGACTCCTAAACAATTCTACTCCAGACAGCTCGGCCTTGGGAGGGCACCAAGAAAGCAACAAGACCAGAGCAAAACACCCTGAAGGACACGGTATACGTGATCCTGGAACTGAGTTTGCACAGAAACGAAGGTCAATCAGTGAACAGCGTGATGAAGAGGGTGGGCCTTCATCTTGGGACCCCCGAAGACCACCCAAAGATGCTAACAGACATGCGTGAAAGATATTTACACATGCTAATTAGTTCCTAGAAATATAAAGAATATTTACATGTGTGATTGTATTTAACCTGAAGCAACAGGGTGTCTGGTGAGCACGTTTGGAGGCGAAATCCCCCGTGTGCCCGGCGCCGCAATAAAGAATACCTGCTTAACAGTATGCATTGTACTGTTAGGTTTTTTTTCCTGCTGGATCTTCGAATCAGAAGATCAGTAAGCCCTACCTGGTTCTCAATCCTGGCCACCTCAAGGCAGTTTCACCTTTACAAGAAGCAACTCTCATGTTTCATCACCCAAGAAAGTGTATTAGATGAAGACATTCTACCTCTACCAGGTAAAGCATTCTTTTCAACGGAGATTTCCTAGCTTTTAAATCTACAGAAATTTCCAGCTGGATGAATGCAAGACACATACTGCAGCTATAATTCACTAAGTAGTTCTGCTGTATGCTCTTCACATCACATCTAACGTGCAGCCATATATATACAAGCTTCCCTCACACCTGAGGAAAAGGTAGATACGTACTTTAAAGGAAACGCTTCAAGGGAAAGACATAACAAAAACTGATGCTCATTCATCACATCTGCTTCTTACCTAGTCAACCAGTAATCACGTGATACTGAGATACTGTAAGTATCACTTCAATATAGAACTAGATTCCTAAGCTCAAAGCAGCACTGAAAATCCCATCAGTTTTGAGGATCTGGCATTAACTGATTTTTTCCTTGCAAAACTCTGTTTAAGGAAGTAAACTTTGCCAGATTAACAAATCCTCTTTTAGATCCTAATAGCGATATTTCATATAGACTACTATACAATATCAAAGGACTGGTTTTGAACATTTTCCAGCAGCAGCAGCATCTTTTCACTGTGCAGGAAATAGCAATGTCAAAATTTTGCAGGCAATTGTCTTACACAAACTTGACAGTAAGCTCACGTTTTCGGATCTTGAACACAGAAACTATTCTTTAACTTCATTCTTCCCCTCCATGTCTGACATGAGGTGGCTCTATCGAGAGTTTTATTGCTTCTCGGGATTACATCAAGGTTAATGATACATTAGAGAACAGTGGAAGCTACACAGCAATCTGCTGCCAGCAAATCCAGTTCCACCAAAAGTCTCACAGTCAGTTGCTGCAATTCTGCAGATAAAGATTACATTCTAAACGGACAGTAGTGGGAAATACAGCGTATACCAAGCTGTCACTCAGAAAACATGAACAAAAAATAGGGCAAACACTGAAACAGTAGAGCAGGTTTTCTCCCAAAGGCTACTTAGCCTAAATCCCTCCTACGTACTGCCTTCCACGCTACATGCAAGTAAGCAAGGGCTACATTATCCTGCTAATTTGTCTAAGGAGAAAATTTACGCAAACAACTTTCCTAAAGACATAGCAGGATGGAATTGCCCCCAGGCCTCACAGTAAAGAATGCCAGTAACATTCACAAACTGAGTGGATACTAGCATCCTTATTCACAATTTAAAGTTACACAGAGTTAAACCAATTTCTTACAAGGCAGTGCACAATGCAAACATTCTTCTGGTCTTGTTTCAGCCATAAATGCATGTTCTTGCATATGCTATACAGATTCTGAAGATTTGGTGCTCGTCTTGCTGGCCAGCCACATTCAGAAACCTGCAATGAGACAGACAGCAGACGTGAGAAAAGAGATTACATAGTCACATACATTTGCATAGCATAAGCTGCGTATAGAAGGGGTAATTTTACTCTTTAATGCCACCTTCAGACAGAAATTAAGTAAGATACTCAGGAAAAGGAGGCTCAAACAGCATAAGCACCACTTCGTAGCATTAAGTGCAATAAAACATCAGCCCTGTCTATAGTCTACTGCACTAGAAGCATCAACAACTCGGATTACTATCTGGAATTTTCTTAGAGCAAGGAATAAAGTAAAACAGCTTGCAACTTGATTTGTGCACATATTCTTAAGCCAAAAACAAACAACCAGAAAGACTTGGTGTGCTTTTACATTTGTCCTTTACTTAAAGGGCCTCAACAGTTAAGTAATCTCCCTTCTGCAATTAGTGCTACAAAACACTACCAAACAATCCCTTTCGCTGCTGAAAAGTCTATATTCTTGAATTAAGCTGCCTAGTAACAATGCAGCATGTGAAACCTGATCCTTGAGCACTTGCAACACTGAAAGAGTAGATGTTCTGCCAGGATCAATGAAAACTTCCAAAGCAAAGCAAGCTTTTTCTATTTCTTTTTAGTCAAGACCACAATTGCTGAATGTGGAAGACCAAGTTTTGCTAAGAGTTCAACCGTTACTCTGAGATTAATTATCTGAACTGAGTATCACAAAAAATTCTCAATGAAATTGTTTTTGTGCCAAACTCAGGAAAAAAGGCTGCAAGAAAGTCTGACACACAAAGTCTCCTACAGCTTTTCACTGTATTCCAGTATTTTAATTAAAAGAGTTGGCAGCTTCAGAAAGCATCACTTTGTGAGACATTTAAATTGAACGTTTTCTTGCTAGTAAAAGCTTATGCAAAGTCACCACTGAACAAATAAAAGCTAAGGCAAACAGTCCTTTATATTCCTGATAACCACAGGATTCAGTGTGGCCTTCAGTACATCTCAAATATTACAATAGTGGTGAAAGAATCATATTGCAGCATTACAGCTACAAACCAGAAAACAATCTAGAAAAGCAGATGTATTCAAAAAAGCGGAAAGAACTGTCTTTTTTTCTATTTTACTGTTTAGTTTCTGGTCAAACGCTAGTTTTGTTACAAGATGTATACCACACAACATTATCTGCTTTTCCTTTGGCTATGTTTTAAGGTTAAGATGTTCTGGCCATTATCAGAACGACAGAGTACACAAATTCTGAGCAACCTATTCCAAGCAGGTCTTAAAACTAGCAGAGAAGACTTCAAAACGGCCACTAACTTTAACCAAGGTTGCTCACCATGCTTCTGGATTTCAATGATGGACAGGAAAAATTTCCCCAGTATATTTAAAAAGTTTGTTTCCCAAGCAAAACAGCTGCCTTTTTTTTTTTTTTTTTTTTTTTTTTTAATCAGAAGACAACATTTTGTAGAAACTTCTAACTACTCTCAGACAATGAAGTGGGCAGGAACCTACAGTATTTTGACAACTTATGATCTACTATTACTTCCCAGCAAAACAAACATCATAGGACAAAATGAACATCAAAAAGATAAACGTAGACCAGAAGAGTTCCAGATCACTGGTAGATGTAGCTGTGCTCGTATTACCACTCACAGTACCACTACATCAGAAATATCAGTGTATACGCACCTCAGACTTGCATAACCAAAAAACCATCCTCAGGGTAAACAATTTCCCATTCCTAGAATTTATCATTCCGTAAACAGAAATTCATAGCTTTGTAGGATGGGGAATAAATCAGTTCACCATGTCAGCCTCATCAGACTTTCCAGCAATCTAGTGCTAAAAATCACTGCTGAAGATTTTGCTTTGAGGTACCTCACAAACCAAACCAAATCATGAGGTTTCCTGCATGAGTAAGCTTTGCCTTCTGTGTTGAACAGATTCTGCCTGAACATCATGCTGAACCTGATGCAGATAAAGAAGTTCATTGCCTCCACCCAAAAATGCAGTAATTGTTTTTTTCAGGTGTGACAATACTTTGTCTTGTCTACAAGTTTACAAAGAAACAAAAGGAAGTGACAAGCACTAGACAGAAGACATTAAACATGTCACCGACTGACAGTTTAAGTGAACTTTGATAACTGAAGTAATGCTAAGGATGGCCCTGCAGCATAAGGCCCAACAGGGGTTTCTTGTAATAAATAATGCTTCTAGACTCTTCTCTCAGCAGTCAGTGTTGTGAGGAAGGAGCACCATCACTAGACCTTAGGTGAAGGCTAATATGGCCAGTACTAGACAACTCACAACACAGGATCAGTCTCCACTATTGAACTACTTACAGGATGGTTCAGGTGTGTTTAGGAGCAGACACTGAAGTCACATATCTCAGCACCTAACAAGCTGTACTCACTACCTTCTCACTGAATTAGGCAAAGGTCTTCATTTTAGTATCGGAGAAATAGCCAGAGAGGCTAATGAAGGCTCAGCTAAGCAGTATTTCAGGCAGCAGCAGCAAGCAGTCACCTAGGGCTGAGCCATATGGCAGTCAAATGGGATGCAGTGGGACAATGAAAAAGTCCAGCAAATAGGTTGCACAAATCAGTCGCCAAAGGAGTACTACTGTTGATAAAGGAAAACCTCTGAATGCAGGAGAGACTGAAATTTTAGTAAGATTTTAAATTATGTTAAGTATTCTTCATTTAAATCTGAAACACGTGAGGTACCTGTACATGTTTTCAGACATCACTAGTCTAGGAAACACAGACTTTGGTCAGTAAGATTAAATATTAGTCTTAGACAAGCAGAATACAGTTACTCTTTGACCTTGTGTTTATACTTATTCTTTCATGATCCTTTTGACTATGCAGTCTACTTTAACATATCTCAGAATAAAAAGCTGAAAGTATAAACAAGACATTGTGTTCAAAGACCTTTACAGGAATATATAAAAACCATACGCACCCTATTGTGGAATCTTGAAGGCCTGTATGTTCTCGGAGAGAGATTGTACACAGCATAGTGACCAGGATGCTTAGAGTCCAGACATAACCGCACATCCTCTATGTTATTTTTGATGGCAGATTCCACACCTTCAGCTGGAAAGGACATCACTGAAGACAGAACAACAAACACCAAATGAAGTATTCACTTTTTTCATATATTAAGAACAACCAGAAATTATTCTTAAAACAGACATAGCTATCGTACCAGCAATTCTGGAAGTGATGTATGATATATCCAAGTCTCCTTTTGCATAACTGAAAGAGAACACACTGGTTTTAATGCTGGGAAACAGAACCATTCAAGCTATAAGTCTAAAACCCAGGTCTCTCAGGCTACACCCATCACCATGAATGTTTCATTTCTCCCATCCGAGGCTTGTTACCTCACACTTCAAGTTTTTCAGAACAGAGTTTTCAGAACAGATGTTGTATTTGAACAGTTACTCATTTACATCAGCTGCAACAAAACCACCTCTAGGGGTTTTGTACAGATGCTTTCAACACTTAACTCATTCCTCTAGCCCCTGCTCTTACTCATAAATGTTCATTATAGGTATCAGTTTGAAAGATTAATGAGGATGCATTAACATCTTTAATGGAGGGCATCATAAGGCTTACAACAAAGAAAATTTCTTGAAATATTTCACTTTAAATGATGTAATGCTGGCATTTTACTGCCTGTCCCAGATGGCCATGCTGCCCAGTTTCTGGATTCTATACAAACAGAGGGTATCTGAATCTCCTTCCTCATTTAAATCACTCCTCCAAAAATTCACTTCCAAAACTCCCACAGTGAGCAAGGTATTAATCATTACTTATCTTCTCATACAGTTGTGCACAGTTTTAAGAAGCAGTCTTTTTGAATAACAATGTCCCAGTGACTTTTTTTTAATTTAGGTCCTATCCTTTCATATCTACCTAATCACCCACATTATGCCAATAATTTCCTATTTTAAGACCACTATTTTTTTGTTTGTTTGTTTCTAGAGTATATGCTATGTAGCAGGATGAAAAAGCTTGCGAAAAAGACTGAAGAGCCCCAGTGCAGGACAATACCCTTGAACACAGTCACACAGGTCTGCGCTCCTGATTAGCAAAATAAGAACAAATCTCACCTACAGAATCTGGTTTAGACATCCCTAACTTACATAAGTCAGTAGCATATTATCTTCAGAATAGAGAAATGTCATCACGTGACTATGATGCATGATTAAATGCAGAGGCACTATCAAAGCAATGCTTTTAAATCACTATAAAGTTGCAAGACATTGCTTGAAAGAGCAGACCAGCTACACAGCACTCAACTTTTGAAACATGAAGAGAGAATGTTACACTTTGATGCCTTCCTGCTTGCTAGTAAACATGAAGGAGGCTGGAGCGATTGATTAAAAGATTACTGCTTTTTACAAGGATTCTGAGAAGGATTTTAGATAAGCCAAGAACAACTGTTCTCAAAGCAAGGACATTAAACAATATTTTTTCAGAATGGCATAATCAGCATCCTAACAATGATAATGACCGAAGGTCTCAAGAGAAACTGAAATCACCACAGGGAAGTTAAGTGAGTCTCACTAGACAAAGCACTAAAAAACTCAGCCTTGAAAAATCTTGCATAAGGAGGTAGACAAAATGGCCAAATCAACACTATTTCAAAATTATTCGCTCCTTTGGAAGGACATAACTTAATTATGTAGCTCAAATAGTAATACTGTTGCAGCCAAACGAAGGCAGAAATTTACATTCAGAGCTAATAATGATTTCTTACTAAAATTAGTGATGAGTATCATCCTTTATATGACTGAGAGGTGCCAAACGTTATTTGTTGCTCATACCCACCAGCTTCAAGCAAGAAAACATGCAAATCGTTCTAATGATATATTTTTTTTGATCTCAAGATAAAGATTCATCTAATACAATAGCCTGAAAAATGAAACAGCATCTCTTCAATGCTATTAACACTGAGGTTAAGCAGCAACTTGAAACAGAAGCACAGAACTATTAAGAACAAAAGCTCAGCAGTCCTCACACCCATTCCTTTGGGAACACTTTTGGATACTGACTTCTTACTAGCAACAACACTCAATTCATCTTTGCTTGTTACATTTGCCTAAATCAGAATGCAACATTATTAGAAGCATGGATCTCACCATACACACATTGCTGAAAAAGTGCAGCCTGGTATGTCAACAACAGAGCACAGCCAACTCAAGCTTGCCGTTTTTCAGGAAAAAAATCTACACGCCTGTTACAACTGAAAAAGCTTCAGAATATTTGTGCGATCTTAATTAAAATGTAGCTGCTAAACTGCAAAATCAGTCTCTAAAACATGTGACTTTATCCTTGAATTACTATTCCTTGAACTTCATTCTGAAGACTTCAGAGCTATTTCAGTAGTAATACTTGAACACAAGGCACTGTTTTTAGTGGAGTGTTTCATGTTAGACTGGTAACTGACATGGCTTCAAATGGCAGGAAGGTGAAAAAAAATGTGTTTTCTTCACACTGGTGAGCATTCCTACACGTTTTAAGATATAACCCTGTAAGTAAACATCAGGAATAAGGTCTTTCCTTTCATGTTGTTAACAGCAGAAATTTCATTTACATAGTGATGTTGCCAGTAGGTGATCAGTGTAGAAGAACACGCAAACAAATCAAGAGACTGCATGGAGGGTTTCTGGTTTGTGATTCTTATGGAAAGCCCAGTGTGCTTTTTAAGGCTGTAATTAAGCTAAACAGGAAACTATCTTATGATGTCAAGATTTAGTCATTTTTCTGATGATACCATAATACTTCAAGGCTTTTTTGTGAGAAGTCTGGTGGGAAATGTAGCAAATAAGATGCAAATTCTCACTTCACAGAATACCTAAACAAAAATCAGGAATTTTGATTAGATGTTAAAAACTTTTCACTGTGTAAATGGTTGGGTTGGCATTATCAACCATGCTAGAGAACAGCTGCACTTAAAGACCATAACTAATACTAAACAAAGGATCATTCCAGCAAATTAAATTCAAAACAATTAAATTAATAATTAAATTCACAAAATAAAGTAGCTAGCATACAGCACAGAATTCTACACCAGTGTATAGCTACTTTGTGTTACTAACAGCTGAAGATGGGAAAAGATGGGAAAGAATAAAGAATGACAGACTAACCAGCTACAATGTGAGCATGCAAACCATTATCTTCAGTTAAATAATGATCTAACACTAAGCAGTCTTCCTCCCGACACCTCTACACTCACAAGAGTACAAAAACATCTACTCATTAGCTAAGCACCACCATTTTTGCAGTTTATTTTTTAACAGTCACAAGAAATGCAGCACTGAAACTCACATCAATCTGTTCCCACTTGGTTTTGCCTCATAAAACTGAATTAATCATTCAACTACCTAGTGCAACACAAAGATGCATGAAATAAAATACCAATGCAGCATCAAATCTGAAACAAAATTACCTTAGAAGCAAAGAAAACTAGTAATAATAGACAGCTACTCATTCCCGAGATTACTAGATCATAATCTCTTCAGTGAAAGACTGTTCTGGCAAAGCAAAACAAGGTAGATCATAAGTTTGCAGGCTGGCTTCAGTACCAGTGAAGACTTGATACTTAAAATATTTACATGTTTTTTTGGCAGGGCATCTGTAACCTGTGTAGATGCAGACCTCAGTAAGCATAAAAGCTGGTCAAGGGCACAGCAGCGTCGCAAGTGACAGACAGAGGTATGCACAAGCCACACGGATGTAAACGGAGTTACCAGGCACACATGGGCACATCCACTGGACAAAATTCCCTTCTACGCAGGCGCTGCTCCGACATACCAGGCCCCTCCACAAAGCAGTGCCTATCTCCTGTGAACATGCATACACTCCACTACTTTCTTTTAGGTTAGTTCATATCAGAGGGCTGAACCTCTGTTGCTCTGTGTTCTTTCTCATGCAACTACAAACTGCTTCTGCCTGACCTGAATTTGCAACAGGGACTGGGACACCTACAAGTGAGGTGGCCTGGGAAGCAGTCAAGATGTCCCTCATTCACTTTCCTGTTCCTAGTAGCCCACAATATGCTTTAGTTTTCAGACTTTATCAATTGTTAGGATAAACAAGAGACCAAAATTTGCATTAAGACAAAGGCAGCTACAGGAGAAACAGCAAACACAAAACACTAAGTCTTCCACTGCAGTTCACACTCATTGAGAAAGAAGTCTGTCTGCAGATAAAGGAATCACAGAATGGTGGGCGTTGGTAGGGACCTCTGTGGATCATCTAGTCCAAACCTCCTGCCAAAGCAGGGTCACCTACAGCAGGTTGCACAGGACTCCACCATTCAGAAAACCAGTAAGTAGGCAGGAGAGAGCCTACCTAATGAGATGACGGACGCCAACACGAGGCGTGCATTAGTTTGGTGAGGAGAATGAACAACAAGGAAGAGACATTTAACTTTGTCCAGAATGTCTGCTTCTCATGTTGGTTCAACAGTTCCGGAAAAGCAGTCAAGGACGCAACAGTAGAAGAGGTATCCTCACACCCCTGGCAGCCTTGGCTGCAGCCACAACACAAGTTTGTAAAGGCAGGGAATGACCATGACAGAAACAACTATGTCCTACAGCAGATGCCAACAAAGAATTAACACTTGAGCTTGGTTAAAGCATAAATAGTCTCAGAATGCACAAGCCCAGTGGTGGGACTCTCAGCAGCACAGTGAACATTTCATTTCTAAAGACCCTGAAACTACTTTAGGTCCTGTATAACATTAAGTATTACGCACTGTCAATTCATGTTTTGCCATTTCAGTGAGCTGTTAAAGATTCAAAATACATGACAGACTTCAAGGAATGAAAACTGCAGCACTAAGGGCCACTAAAGAATATTGACAAATTACCAGCGGAAGGAGTTCCTCTTTCAATATTGATTAAATTATCTGGAAAGTAAGTATTGAAGTAACTGGCTCTCACTAGCATAATTATGCACTTCGTGCACTCCCTCCTGTTCTTTCATTCCCCAACCCAATGACAAAATTCCCTTGGATAACACAAGAAAAGCAAAAGGCAGTTGTATGAAGACAGAGGGCCCTCCACAAAACCAAGATTCTTTTGTTAGTGCAGAGGCTTAAACAAAAATCTGACAGCCTCACATGGTCTATCAGAGGTGATGTGTGCGAGTCATCTAAATATAAACCCGTATTCAATCAACCTAGTCCTAAACATCTGTGAGGGACTGATCTCCTCATGATGAAACGTGGGACTTAACATACACTGTCTGACAATCCTTTGTCCATCCATCACAGCCCACAGAATCACTGTATCTCCCATTACCTGGAAAAGGCCCTATGGCTTGTTGATCTAATTTGGATATTACAATACTTCCACCCATTAAGAGCTACAAACCAAAATCAAGTCAAATAACATTCACAAGCTACTCAATTCTACTAAATATCAACCTGTGACACTCTGTAATTAATTCAAATAAGATGTAAAAGGAACGAGCTTTTCTTTGACTAATATTTCATAAGTTCTACAAGACACACACTAACGTGTCTCTAACAGCAGTCGTATTCCTGACAGAGGCTCGAACACTACCACAAAGTAAATAGTCATGCCATATTAGGTTTGAAGCAGTTTAGAGGATTCTGACAATTTTCTTACGTTGCAAGCAAATTTAAGGCATAAATGACCTTGCCATGGGGCTCTGTGCAGGACTCAAGAGCCTCAAGATCCACTTCAATCATACTTTCCCATTTTTGTCAGAAAAGCAATGCTAACTGAAGTGCCAAGCATATAGTTCAGCCACAGCACACTAACTAGCAGTTCAGAAATAGCATAGTAACTCTACGAATAAAATAGATGCAAGACTTATTCTGGGCAGTCATAATGTAAACAAACAATTGTAGAGAAGAGCATGTGAACTGAACAGCATCTGTTCAGACCGCAAGTACTCATGGCCCTATACCTCAGAAGCTGCCAGATGAGCTCTGCAGATGCAGTGGATGTACAGTTACTGTTTTATTCCTTGCACACTATGCTTATTATGGAACGAAAGGAAATCACACAAAGCAAAATGCCACACACACTTGTTAGGTAAGAGAAGTAAAAATAGGGTATAGGCACAGCATAAGCCATCATATTTTAAAAAGTCAATTTTTGACAGTCCTAATCCACCACTAGAAAAGGGGAAAATAGCACAAGATGAAATTCAAATAAATAATTAAAGTTCAAATGCTGTTTAAGGATGAAATCACTTGCATGAGCAGGAACAGGAAACTTCCTCAAACATAACTGATTGATGGAGGCACAACAATCCAGAAAGTAAAATGAAGACAAGAGCACAAGAAAGTGAAGTGCAAGAGTACTTCAGAAGCATGTAGTGTATAATCGAAATATAGTACCAGCATAAGATCTAATACAGGAACACAGGCATGGGAAAGTAGGGCGTATAACTTTGTCAAAGGTAGAGAATAATCTAAGTGTTATCTGTCACAAAGGAAGAAAAGTAATGTCTCTACTGTCAGACAAATCAAAGCAAAGTTGCCAGAATTTAAGACAAGGAACTAAGTACCTTCAAGTTTATAAACAGTAGGGCTGTCAAAGGCAAGGAATCTGCAGGATATTTCCATGTTTTACCAGACAGTAAATATCGTTTAACAAGATACCACAAAAGGAACAGAAGGAGGACTGAAGAGGAGGGAAACGGAAGATCAGTTCCACAGAAGGTAGCACGGTAGAAGGAGACAAAGAACAGAGGCCTGTAAGACAGCACGCCAAAGAAACAAAATGGAGAGCAGTTGTTTAAAAGCTGTAGCTCATCATGTTACTTCATACATGGAACTCCTACAATTCTGCTAAGCTGCTAACAAGTCACTGCTTTTCACCATGTAACATTTCATTCCCCTCGTACATCTCCCTGTCTTTTCTTCAGTCAGGGTGAAAAGTTTGATGCTACTGTACCAACTGCTTCTGCAGAAAGTTTATGGATAAACCAAAGCTGCACAGCTTTTGCAGCCTTTAAAAAATAGAGGACCTGACCTTTCAAGCCACGCACAGAAGTTTAAACAAAGTATAAGAGCTAACACCTAAAAACACACTTGAAGTGGCTACAGAGGTGTGAGATCTACAGATCTAACCTGTCTGACCATTACAAACATTTTAGAGTAGCACGACACAGAAATTACACTCAGTGACATAAAAACTTGTTGCAAGCAAGAGACTTCACAGATGGTAGCGCAGTGTACCAAAGGGCCTCAAACCCCACAGAGGGCCATGGTTCAGTATTCCTTAGGAGGCTCTAGTTCAGACATGGCATTCAGTAATGACTTATCTGCTCTTCCTCAAATTAAGAAAACACTTTCACATTCTATAAAACTTTATTAGTAGTTAAAAATCTATGACTCATACAGATAGATTAGTATTGATCATATAGAGGTACTAGGAACATTTGGAATGGGACTGAAAATCTGATTAGAAAAAAAATAATCACACACGAGGTATCTGAGAACACATACATCAAAATAGAAGAGTATTTTTCCATGTAATGCAGGGCAAAGGAGACATACAGTGCAGATCCTCTCACTTTGCCTTGAGCGCATAGGATTCCACCTGAAAACTAAACTGGACAGAAGAGCTCATACACTATTTCCCTCTATTTTTTCTTCTCATCTCCATTGCCTTTATACTTTTCATTACTCCATCTATTTTCTTCCTCTCTTATTCATGGAGGCCCTATCTACTAATTCAATTCATCGTTCTGAACCGTGATAAGATCTTCCATACCTCTCCGCCCTGCTCCAGCCTCCACCTCCTCATCTCTCCCAAGCTTTCAGCATCTAAAATACAGCAGGGAAAGTTGTACTTATGGACTGGCTTTTGTCCCCAGTGTTCTCATTTCTAGTATACGATTGCTAAAGTAACTTTTGTATTAATATTGTTCATAAAATCTCAGGGCTAGCTTCCAGCTATTAGAGCTCATACTTTGAAAAGTATGCTGAACTTGATCATCTCTGGAGTAAGCTCCTGACTCTTAGAACACTTACCAGCACAGTAATTCAAAAATTTATTTTTTTTTTTTACTTACTTGGCCACAGACTGGATAACTTTAGAAGATGTATCCTTAATATTAGTGAAAAATCGCTCTGTTCCACCCCTCAGAATATCAAAGAACCCTCCATAAGTCTGGTCACATTCCGCAACGGTCAGGCCTAGAGTAGTCGAATAAAAATAATTGTACTTTAAGTCATGTCCTGAAACAGGCTCCATACTAAAGCAAGTTGCCTACAAAGTTGGAAGTGAATGCACATACAGGCTACATCTTGCTGTAAAGTTTACGGTTCTGAAGTTCTCCTTAACTATGACCTATGCAAAAAATAGTACTTCCTGCAATCAGAAGGTATTAGCAAACTACTTAACACATTATTTAATTGACTGTATTTAAGAGAAAACAAGGTAAAAAATTTCTGAAAGTAAAGCATTTATTTCATATTGACAGTGCAGCAAAACACTGTCTTTTTTTTTTACTATCAATCTCTTAAAGTGCAGTTTATCATTAGCAAATCTACTTAAACACTCCCAGTAGAAACATTTTAATACAGGGCTTAAAAAGCAGCTGGCATAATTTAATTAATTTTAAGCACAACATCCCAGCTAGCACAGCATCCCAGCACAACATCTCTACTAATAAGATTGTATACAATAAACAGCACTCACTCTTGCACAAAACAGATGGCCAAACAGACTTTTGATTATAATCCTATTAGGAAGCTGGATTCTTCCACAGAAATTGATATACAGGTAACATTACTGCAATAAATGTTACCCAATTTTAAAAGTTTCCCTGGAACATCAACATCCTTTGTCTCATTGGCAATTCATCATAAGTAATACCAAGCAAGAAATACCAAGCTGGAAGGAAAACTGAATACAGTATGAAAAACTCCCTTGATACCTTCTACATTAATTGAAACGTTCTATAGTCACATACGATACATGATAAGATGGGTGTAGAAAATGCCTTTTAATAAGGAATGAGATGTAAATAAGCCTATCAAGCTTCTCCTCTTCTTTATTAAGTGCAAGTATTTTCAGCTGAATGAACTCTGGAATATCTGTTTTTACAGAATGGGTATGTCAGCTTCTAATTGTGTCACTTTGGCAATCGGTTTTGGTAACTCGATTTAGACCTGCTAGCTCACCTACTGTTTTTCCTCAGATGGTACTGCAGATCCTTTTCCTCACTATCGATGTCCTAAGGTGCAACTGCCTCCTGAAGTCCTCCCTGCACAATTCTCCCATAATTTGCTGGGCTCAAGGCAGTCCCAGCTATGGCTATTTCTGGAAGTACTAACTGGATAGCAAATAAACAGGGTTTAGGCTGCTGCTTTTTCTCTTTGAGGCTGTCAGACATAAGTTTTTCGTAAGTGGCAAAACTAAATAGCTTTAGACTATGATCAGATGCACTTCAAACTATCACGAATGGCCAAAAGTCTTTTCAGGCAGGACAGGTGGACCCCAGATGCTTACAGAAGTTTTTCTTCCTCATATAGGTTTTCTGCAGTCTAAAATAAATACAGGTCAGCTCAGTGACTCCTCAGCACTCATGAACTACAGTCAAAATCCCTGCAATTGCTTTTGCATTTCTTTACTGGACTACCTCAAACACTAGACACCAATAAGGCTGTTTTAGCATTAAGTTATACCCAAAAGCCACAGAACGGCTGCTATCTTTCTAACATATCTGATGTTAAGTAGTTGTTCTTGGAAAGAAAGACAACTGTCACTTCCTTATACCGAAGATCCAATACTGTGCACAAACTCAGGACATGTACTGATTTCAGTAACTTCTGTCACAAAGTAACAAGGTTTCAGTTAAAATACAGCACTTCTGAGCAGATTTTTAACAGTTTAAACTCCTTTTAAACTCTCCTCTTTACACAAGGCACTGTCAAATATCATTGACTCATTGAATCAGAAAGTTTTGCACTTAAAATAAGCCAGTTATATTCATTTGTCATAACCTGAAGACTATTCTCTCTACAGCTCTTGTTCTTAAGAACATTATTGCTTATTGTATCCACTATTTATATCAAGTTTTAGTTCACTCATTTTAGCTTTCTCACTGCTACAGATCAATAACGCATTTTAGTTTCAATTATTTTATGTAAGAAATTGAATTTTATCTTGCCCAGTAATGAACTTCAGAAATTCACATTTGCATGTATCAACATACAACGAAACCCCACGAAAAATAAAACAAGGTTAGAAACAGTGATATAAATGCAAAATAGCTAGTACTTGTGCACAATGTCTAAAACCCCTAAAATACTTTTTTTGACACATAAGATAAGCAATTGGTTTTATACTAATCTGATGTGACATCTCTCTCTGCACTTACCAGCATTGTACATATTGTTGAGCTGTCCTGCAGGCTTGGAGCTCTGTGAAAGGGAGGCCACAGATGTCCGAGGCTGAGCATTGTTTCCATAGCCTCCATTTTGTTCCAGGAGCTGAGGAGATTAAATGCTCACTATGAGTATTTCCTTGCCAATTCAGCCAACTTGTTATGCTTTGTAAATTACTTTCACTTAATGAGAACAAGCAAGCTATCAGTTACCGAACCTCAGGAGAAAGCCAGGAAGTTAAGATACACTAATTGATTCACTTGCAGTAATGTGCAAATTAAGCATTAAGCAGAAGACACCTAAGTGAGTTTCAAGTCAGTGTAGGCAGAGCGTGTGCAAGTTAATCATGATTAAATGCAGCATGTCAAATAGAGCACTTGTGTACTAAAGAATGACCCAAGATCTTGAGTTTTTCAACATGCAGTAAGAACCATAACTAGTTGCCTTTAACATCATGCAAGCTCTGTACTTTAAAAGGCATATTTTCAAAGATCCTAGAAGTCATATAGATACATTCAATTGAATTTCAAAAGTTCGTGTAAAATTTTCAAATTACTAAGGAACAGGGGACCTGCTCTGACATCTGTTACTAAACTCACACTCACTGGATACAAGAGGAAAGAAAGGAGAAAAAGGAGACCAAATCAATCATGCTCCTCTCCATGAGACATCTTTACCTCTGTGATGGGGGATTTAGGATTAACATTCCTAGCTGCCGCAATCTCCTGCAGTTGATTCACAAGTTCAGTGATCGACAATCTCTCCTCTGGGTTCACCTTCAAAGTGGAGCCTAAAAATGGGAGATTCAGGCAATATAACAGAAACTCTCCGGAGCTTTTTCGCCTAGCAGAGATTAGTAATTTCTTCAGTGCACTCCAGTGCAATAAGCAATCAAACATGCAAACAGAGTGGAGCAACTGCTAAATCCATACCCAAATATCATTGTCATAACAGATATCCATGAAAAACATAATTTAGGGTTGAGAAAATTTCAAAGAATACACTTTAGGATCAGTTAATGAATGATCCCAGACTTAACTTTGTATTTTATACTGTTGGAAACATAATTCTTGAACTGTAATTACAGCTTCCAGTAAATTTCCTCTGAAATTTAAAAGTAGAATTTCTAAAGCAAATTCAAAGGAAGCAAGTCAAAAGACTAGTTGTTCCTATGGACTAATTCAGATCCCAAGCAAGACAGGCAACTGCACTAAAAACCAAAAGTTTCATTTAAAATTTTGAAGTATTTTGATAACGGAATACATTTTTTAATAAAACAAGAAGTTGTTTCAATTGACCTCTTTCACCATCACGTGAATAACATTTAATAACCAGTAACACAACACTGTCAATAATGAGACGTATCCATAAAGACACCAAATTAAATAACCTTGTAAACTTACGGATGAGATCATGGAACACTGAATAGCGGGTGTCATTTTGTGGTATGACATATTTCCCATTGACTATGCGAAGTTTAGCTCCATCTTCAAATGGATGTTGCCTAAAGCACAGCAAATACAGGATACAGCCCAGAGCCTACACAGAGATAAAGGCAGAAACATCTCATAGAACCCTGGAATCATTTAGGCTGGGAAAAGATCAAATTTAACCATTAACCTAACACTACCACGTCCATTACTAAACCATGCTCCTAAGCACCATGTCTACAGGTCTTTTAAATATCCCTGGGGCTGGTGACTCAACCACTTCCCCAGGCAGCCTGTTCCAGTGCTTGATAATCATTTTGGTAAAGAAATTTTTCGTAATACCTAATCTAAACGTCCCCTGGTGCAATCTGAGGCTGTTCCCTCTTGTCCTGTCACTCATTACTCCGGAAAAGAGACTGACATCACCTCACTACAATGTCCTCTCACACAGTTTTAGAGAGCCATCAGGTGTCCCCTCAGCTGCTCCTTGTAAGACTTGTTCTCCAGACCCCTCACCAGCTTCATTGCCCTTCTTTGGATGTGCTCTAGCACCTCTTTGTCTTTCTTGCAGTGAGGGGCCCAAAACTGAACAAAGTACTCGAGGTGCAGCCTCAACAGAGCCAAGAACTGGGGGACAATTACTTCCCTACTTCCGCGGGCCACACTGTCCCTGATACCAGCCAGGATACCCCTGGCCTTCTTGGACACCTGGGCACACTGCTGGCTCATGTTCAGCCGGCTGCTGACCAACGCCCCCAGGTCCTTTTCCACCAGGCAGCTTTCCAGCCACTCCTCCCCAGGCCTGCAGCGTTGCATGGAGTTGTTGTGACCCAAGTGGAGGACCTGGCACTTGGCCTTGTTGAACCTCATACAATTGGCCTCAGCCCATCAATCCAGCCTGTCCAGATCCCTGTGCAGAGCCTTCCTGCCCTCAAGGAGATCAACACTCCTGCCCAGCTTGGTGTCATCTGTAAACTTACTGAGGGTGCACTTGATCCCCTTGGCCAGATCACTGATAAGGATGTTAAACAGAACTGGCCCCAGTACCCAGCCCTGGCGAACGCCACCTGTGACAGGCTGCTGGATTTAATTCCATTCACCACCACCCTTTGCGCCCAGTTATCCATCCATTTTTCTACTCAGCAAACAGTACACAGATGTCATGGTGGTGTCACAGCAGGCAGAACATTGGCAGTGGCAGATGGTGACACCACCAGCCCAGGCACAGGTGAGCAAGGGCAGCCACCAGGCTGGCGGGTTAGCAAGGGCAGGGAGGGGAGGGCACAGAGGCAGGGGCTGCCCACAGTGATAGAGGGTGGTTGCTTTGTACTACAGTTGGACATCTTGACAGGGAAACAATCAGACCACAGCACACTCCTGTCCTCTTCCTTGTCTGCCACTGAGCTGGAGAGTTGCTAACAGTCTACAGGACAGATCAACACCAACCCCTACTTCATGGTGGTCTTACCAGGAGCTGTAAGCTCCACAAAGCCATGGGCAAAAGGAGCTCTGTGCCCTTTTTCTCTATGAACTCTAGGACTGAGCTCCTGGCACTAGCCCTAGTGATGTCGTGACCATATCAGTGGGCAGAATGCTGGTGGTGGCCAGCATTTTTCACCCAGGATGGGTGTCTCTTGGCGATCAGGGAGGCATGGAACAGACAACCTTGGCATGAGGCTGGGAGAGCCCACAGGAAGGAGGCAGGGGTTGCCTGTGACAACAGAGGGTGGCTGCTTTAGTTGGTGGTTCTCTTATCTTTGATAGCTGAAGCCATGGACAGGGACATAAGCAGATCATGGCACATTTCTGTTCTCTTCCTCCTCCGCCACTGACGAAAAGAGTGTTACAACTTGTATTCACAGACATTGACCCAAGGATAAAGAAACACCTTATCCTGTATCTCTACACCTTATCTAGGAGCTCTGCAGCACCCACCTTCTTTGTATGAAACTTATCACAGAATGAAAAAATTTATAAACACAAATTTTCCAATTCATTAACACATTGACTGGTTCTTCTTGTTTGTGCTGTCTAATTCAGGCAATGATATTTAAAAGAGAATTCTAGAATACGAAATTGGTTAAGCCTCCTAATACTGCTTGCAAACTGCAGGTTTCAGTCATCAACTGCTGACTCACGCAACTCATATTCCCAGTGCTTTAGAAATAATTAGTCTTGATGTTTCTCGGAGGACAGAACACTTAGTGAAACACTCATTTGTTTGGTGTGCCAACTAGGGAGCTCCAAGCAGGAATATTGCTACTAAATAGGTTTGTGGCTTTTCTCCCCTTTCACAGAAGTTTTCAGGTTCAGTGATTCTCCTACTAGTACCTTATTTTTAAAAATCATTACAACAAATCTATTAATTTCACAGTGAAAAAAAAATGAGTAGTCTTGCAACACTGAGTACGTTCAAGAACAGGACTTTTCTTATAAAAAGGCTCAGAAGATTTACTTCGTATCCTCATCCTGAGCTTCAAGCAGACTAATTTTATTTGTGGGGAGAGAATTTGGTCTTTTGTACTTCTAACCCAGCTACACTGTTATGCAATGCACCAGCTAAGCAAGCATTTACGTGTTAACCAATTTGTTTAAATGACACTAAGGGGGACACATCATCTCTAAAACACTTGTTTTGATAAAGATTTGCAGAAAATAAGCCTGAAATGACAGTTACTTTATTTCCTAGAATAAGAAGGCTATTGAATTCTTATTAAAAAAACCCTAAATTTAAGATCATTTCAAGGCAGGTTCATTCAAGCCTCAAAAATCACAAAAACAGGAATACTACATCCTGGGAACTTTTAAGTTCCTTGGCGTATCCAAACCTGAGACCTGTGCAACCTGACAAGGGAACAACCACCAAAGCCAGAAGTCACTTTTGAATTCTAATCTCTGAATAGTCTAGGTGTTATGGATTAGTTAGGACAACTTCACCTGACACTTAAGTAAATATAAGTTGATCTTTCTATTTTCATATAAGTTAACATATGAAATATACTAGCAGAGTTATGCTGTTGTAATAGAACCATGTTCCATCTGGCCTATAAAAGTTTAATAATAAAGCATCTGTCTGGTTTCAGCTGGGACAGAGTTAATATTCCTACCAGTAGTTGCCGTGGTTTAGATTTAGTAGAAGTATGTTGATAACACTGATGTGTTGCCAAGAAATCAAAGACTTCTTCCAGTTTCTCATACTCAGCTAATGAGCAGCTATGCAGGAGCTGGGAGGGAACGCAGGCAGGCAGCTAGCCCAAGCTGGCCAGTGGAAATATTGCACACCATCGATGTCATGCTGAGTTTATAAATGGGGGTTGGCCAGGTAGCAGGAATCTCTGTTCTGGGAGTTCAGCTCTCTCTTTTTAAGTTAGTTTGCTCTCTTCCAGGAGTTTAAACTTCTTCCCGAGTTCTGTGAAATCCATGAGTTCAGCACTCCACAATCACTGCTCAAGGACTGGCTATGCAATCGGTTGTTGGGTGGTGACAAAAACCGTATTTCGTATCGCTTGTTTTGCATATTCATTGTCATTATTCCTTTCTTTGTTGTCTTATCAAACTGTCTTTATCTCAACCCACAGGTCTTATCCTCTCCTATTCTCCTCCCCTCCCCACTGGGAGGGGAGGACTGAGTGAGCAGATGCACGACCCTAGGTGTCGGCAAGTAGGTGCATGGTACTAAGTTGCCAGCTGCTGGGTTAAACCACAACAGCATACAATAACTCCAAGAAAATCCCAAAGTGCAGACTAGAATATTTCTCCTCAGAGTTTCTTCTGAACCACAGCTTAGTTGTTTCAGCATATGGGCTTTTCTAGCCCCCGCAAATAAAAGAAGCCTATGAAGACATTAGCTAAAAGATCTGCTCACTGCTTCTAGTCTTCTGCATGCACAATCACCATCTGCATGCAACCAAGCTGTCCTTGGTTGTCAATTTACCTCAAGAACAGTTTCAAGACTTCAGCGTTATTGAAGTCTCTGAAAGGTCTGACATTTAGTTACTCCAGAACACTTACTGAGTCTCTCAATCCAGAGCCAGAAATAAACTGCATATATTAATTCTGTATTATTGTATAGCAAGTACATTTTTGACAGTCTGTTGAAAAAAACTCTCCATAATGTATACACTGAAGCATCATATAGTCCACATCAATTAATCCAGCAGGGGAGTACAGGAAATACCACCCACTTTGCCATAGAAATGCCTCTTTACAATGCATCAGTAAGGCAGATCTTGAGTTAGCTGGAGGAATGAAACTACTCCCTGTGCAGTTCAAGACACCAAGCACATCAGAAGACAGCATCCACAGCCACGTGCAGGAGAAAAGCACAAAGGCAATTAGCTGAACACATAGGAAGTGAAGAGACTACTCAGATTTGATCTTTGCTTTAATTGCTAGAGAATGTTTTTCATTCCCTCTGCTTTATCTGTAACTTCGCATTCTAACAGCGATATATTTTGAATATTTTAAACACTGTCCTGGTTTCAGCTCAGATAGTTAATTTTCTTCCAAGCAGTTGCTGTAATTTGGAAGAAACGAAGGACTTTTTCCAGTTTCTCATGTTCAGCTAATGAGCAACTGTGCAGGAGCTGGGAGGGAACATCAACAGGCAGCTAGCCCAAGCTGCCCAAAGGAAATATTCCATGCTACAGGTATCATGCTCAGTTTACAAATGGGCATTGACTCAGAGGCAGGAATTCTTTTTTTCTTTTCTATTTCAAATTCTCTCTGGTCCATGAGTTCAAACTTTGACAGGAATTTGGTCTTTTTGGAGAATTTCACTAATAATTCTCTGAAATTCACTAATAATTCTCTGAAATTCACTAATTCCAGGTTCCACAATCACTTGTCAGGGACTGACTGTGAATCAGGCATCAGGCAGTGAGAAAATTGTATTGCATATAGTTTGTTTTGCATATTCATTACTATCATTAGTAGTAGTAGAGTAGTATTAGTATTCATATTAGTATATTTAGTAGTACTAATATCTACATATTTATTTACTAATTTATATTACTTGTTAAATATACATAGTAGTATTAATATTTGCTTTGTTGTCTTAAACTGTCTTTATCTCAAGCCCCAAGTTTCCCCTTTCGTCCATTTCTGCTCTCATCCCGCTGGGAGGGAAGGGGAGGGGTGAGCAAGCAGCTGTCTGGTGCTTAGTTGCCAGCTGCCAGGTTAAACCACAAACACCAGTTGTGATTCAACTTGGCTAAAAGGCAATTCCAGTTGCAGCAAGGCAATTCCTCAAAACAAACACCACCCACATAGCCTCAGCACTGACACCGTTTACAGGAGAGCCCATTTCCCCAAGATGTTGCCCCAAAGCTGCAGACAGTCCATCTACAGAAGCTGCCTGAGTCAGTCTGAGCACTCAACATGCCAGCAGGTAAAAAAGCAGCACGGCAAATTGACCAAAAATAACTACAAATAACTCTTTGACCTGCTGCTGGGCCTTTATGGGTAGTCAATTTAACTCATCCTTAAGGGGACAGTGGAGTTCTGTGGGCATTGTGCAGGGGGGGAGGGGGGAAGAGAGGTGCAGGGAGTTGTTTCAAACAAACACCAATACTGTTGTTTTTCCACTGCACAGCTTCAGGCAATAAGCAGCACATTTAAAATGATGAAAAGCCTACAGTATAGCTGCAGGATGATATATTGGTATTATTACACCAAAGTACTTTCTGAATAGAATTAAACTACATAAAATCCAACAAGATCATTCAGCTCTTGCAGAATTAAAACCTGCAGGATGTCTTGTACTGACTAGAAGCATTTTTACCAGCTATTGGTAACGAGAACCCAACTTTTAAATTTTGCTCCTTAACTAACATATTCCAAAGCCCACTCTTTTGCTTTTTCAGAAATTTATAAGAGTGAGAGTGTATGAAGAGACTTCCAAGCCAAAGATAATTTCAGTGAAGAAAAAACTTTATGATAAGGTAAGGTTTCTCATTTCACTGGAATGTAGTCAAATTTCAGTTCAGGAAATTAATTCAGAAAAAAACTGAACCAAAGGTATTTGGGTTTAGTGTTTATTTTCTGAAGATATCTACACACAGATAGGAAGTGTACAGAAAGCAGTTGGCCAAGCCTAAGAACCTCTGATCTTACAATCAATATCTAACCCCATTCTCACTGTGTGGGTAAAAAGTTTCATCTATGCTGCTGTTCTAAGCAAGACATCTTTATCTCCTTTATAATTTCAAGCTCACAGAGTGACAATCACACAGACCACAACCATGAGTGTTACTCAACCCACCTACTTTCTTGGGAAAACTGTTTTGTTTACCCTAACCACAAACTACAAGATCAGTCATGCTTCCTCAGACAGCGCCACTTCTATTGCCAAATACTTCGCATGTTTTCACTGAACCCAGAGCATAAAGCAAAAAACACAGAATACCATATTCCAATGAAGGCAAGGTAAATGGAACAGATCTTTCAAAGACACAACAGGATACAACCACTGCATTGATGCTAACGGATACACAGTTATTCTAAACAAAACATAAATTGCAACTGCCGTTAGGAGTGAGGCTTTCACTAAATGCATGTCTAGCTTGTGTTTTACTGCACATAATCTTGGCTCAGGCTGCCAGTAATTTACACATGTTAAGTCACCAAATGGTCAAAACTTTTTTTTTCTTGGTATTTCTTTACACATCCGAAGAAAATTGCCAACAGCTGTAGAAGCTGAGTAAGAGTTTCCACAGTATCTTGTAACCAATTCAGGAAATTGAATGAAGTTCTGAGATTCCAAATAAAAACTTTTAAGCACCAGTATTATATTTTGTCAATTTCTCTTTTGACACACTGCCAATACAGAAAACAGCTGAACAGCTTGACACCTGCCTCTAAAAAACATCCAATAAACTAAGTCCCCAAGCACAAAGTCACTTGGCAATACCTCAGTACTATTACAGTATTACACAACTGAAAAAATGTACAACTGAGGATTTAATATTTACCTTTAATTCTGGCTACAGATTTTTCAGTGAACGATAACAGTTTATCATCCTTTCTATACAAAGCTTGAATGATCCCTGCATAGTTCTCATCCTTGCCATCTGCCAGTATTTTATCTGGATGCAATACCTAGACATAACCATTCTGAGCAATAGGCTGTCCCAGGATTGCGTGCACAGCAGAGAATGAAAGGCAAGAATTTGAATTGAAGACTGAGTATTCTGGCTCTATTGTGGCAAGCTCTAACTAGGCTACAGTTCTACTGAATGTCATAGAAGTTCAGCATTGCCTCTCACAGTGGAAGTAAAGCTGGATCTTGGAGAAAATCTTGAATACTACATCTCTTTCTTCTAATATTCAGATACACAGTTCATACTACTTAAGTTTATTTTGACGTAAGAGTCTTTTCCTACATTTTGGTGCTTTTATTTATTTAATCAACAAATTAACAGGAAGACTGCAAAACCAGTTTCACTATGACATTAATAGCTGTGATACAGCAAGAGAAACATTTCTTACCCAAATGTCCTGTTTTTCACCAATCGGAAAATTTGAATACAAGTCTACCATTTCTGGTGTCCTGTACATTGGTGTTGTATTCCTTGTGATCTGCAAAAGACAGAATTTCTTGAAACAGAAACTTGAATAATAAGCTCTAAAAGCATTCAACCTAGAAAACAACTCTCAATGTAGAATGGATAGCATTCTCACTTTGAAAATTAATTTCAGAAATACCGGTCAAGGCAGAAGCCATCAATTCTGCAGTAGTCACAGCAGCTTTGATATAAGCCTGTATAAAGACTCCGGTACTCAAATAAATAACATTGTGACATTCAGGAGTCCTTCCAAACTGCAAAGCACAGAAAGTAAAATCACTGTTCTACATGATGCAAAAATGGATACGGACACAAACACAGAAAATCAACAATAAACCAAGCAGTGAATTCATGCTCCAGTGTGTATTTCTGGCTTCCTCATCACACAATGACAGTGCAGACACATCCAAAGGCTTAAGCTATGTTCACAAGGATTCCTGAAAAGACCTTCCCTACCATCTTTTTGCCTAGACTATGTAAGACAGTGGTGCAACATCATCTTCTCCAGAAACCAAATGATTGCTCTCTAAGGATGCTGGATCCCAAACCAGGGTGAGTTTACAGAGACTCATGACATCAGAAGCTGCACACATGAATTTTAAGTGCCCCTGTATTTCTCCATACTTAAGTCTGATTCCAGTTGATGTACTACATTACAGTTACAAGCATTACTCTCAACTCTAAACAAAGAACAAACGCACTCTGCAAAAACACACTGCATGCTTAACACTGTCGCTGTAGTCCTAGAGGCACTGCAAATACTGCCTATTCAAATTCTGCTGAGCAGACTTGCTGCTTCTTTATATATTACTCATCTGCGAAAAACAGATGAGAAGGTGAGAATCATTTCGGCATAACAAATTTTTTACTCATTGTTAAGAGTGCAATTAGAAGAAGCTCTAGTAATCAATTCTCTTTTCACAGTGGATTGCAGCGTAGACACTGCTCAGGTTGAAGCAGTGTTTGCATATGCAGCTACAGAACACAAACTATGATTACGACTGCAGGCAGTGTTTGAACTCTGGCAACACGGATACAAAACCACAGCTTTACAAACAACAATGCAACTGAAGATCTTCAGTTGTCTTAGAAGTCCCATGAATCAGCATCAGACTAATAGTAACAGTTAAATGAATCCACTGGTGATACTAAGATTAATCCCATTAAAATAGTCTCACCTCTTCTTCAACCAGCGCCCTCTTCTGTGCAGACCAATTATAGTCAGGATAGTAAGCTATAGTTGTAGCACTACCGAAGTCACAGAGTTTAATCGTCCCTTGGTTACTAACAAGCAAGTTTTCCACCTTCAAAAAGAGGTAGAATAATAAATTAGACATCTTTTTTCTGTATACTAACACACGTTTTAAACTTCAATTCATTTGTGCTTATATAAAGACATACACACTTTAGCCCAAAATGTTGTTTACAAGAGCACAAAGATTTCATATAGTACTGCAGATGTATATAGTAGCAATACAAACGATTTTTAAAAGGAAGCACCAAAACCACTATGAGCAGGAAACACTCAAGAGAGCAAGAAATAAACCCCAGGAAAAAGAGAATCATTTTCTTAGTGCCTAAGAAGAGTCCAGTTTTTCAGAAGACCACTTGCAGAAGCACTATCTTGGAATCCAATTTTTTTCATGCATAAAACCGAACACTATTGGTTTAATAGTAGTGGAGTGAAGGTTAGCACCGCTGTAGAGACAAAACAGGAAAGTACCAGTAGAGAAGCAGGCTGCTCAGGGACACCCTGGAAGTGGCAGCCACGACCCTGTGCAGAGACAGAAACCAGCTATTTAAGGACGCTGGGCTGCCTGAACAGTTCATTGTCACTCATCCCTCCTACTTAATAAAATCCAACATTCCTGGATTGCTAAGTGAAACATGGAAGAAACTGAAGTGGAGGGGAAAAGTGGGTATTGGGCAGAAGTACTGTGGTGTCACAACCACAAGGGCTGAAAAAGAAAATTTGTATCTCTGAAGTCAAGAAACTGTATAAAAATTAAGAGGCATATCACTAATAGTACAACACCACGCTTCAGATAACTAGGTTTGTTTTCCCTTTCCCTTTGAAACCACAACATCTCTGGACTTTCTTCTGCAAAACCTCAGATTTCAGAACAACCTACTGGCCTCCCTTACACATGCCCTTTCCAACTTCTTCCACCATAAAACTAATTTTGATGACCCTACAGGAAGACATAAGCTGTTAATGATGCGGTTAGTGTATCGATCTCAATGAGCCATCTGATTTTCCTTCTTTGTTGGATAACCTTTGTTTATCTCCATGTGCAATAAGAAGAGGGGGCATTCAACATCAAATTAAATTTATCCACTAAAATGGTCACATTAAGACCAGAGATCCAGCTACTGTGCACACATGTTCTGGTTTTTGTGCTTTGGTAAAGTTTGTAATGAAAAACATTCCAGCTGATTATTCAGATTTTAACAGGCTCTAGGACCTGTGTTATGCAGACTAGCTATGTGCTGTATGGCAAACCCTGAAAAGATCAAACTCAGAAAATATATCACAGAAGCACTAAAACTTTACAAATCAAGCTCTAACCAGCTTAGAATTTTCAGAACTCTATAACTAGCTGGCCTCTTACAGTGCTCTACACACACATTGTGAGAACTTCATTCAACAGGGTTCAGAAACAAAGAACGCACTACACTGACAAGCAAGAGAAGGAAACCACAGGAGAACAGAAACAGCCACCACTATGAAGGTGAACTTGCTTTTAAGCTGCACTGTAGAAGTTCATGAATCTTTTAGTCAAAATAACTGAGAAAAACCTGTTAGGACTCCACACGACTACACCCCTCCCCAAAAGCTACACCAGCATCTCAGGTCCATCCAGGCTGGCTGAAAACTTTGACCTACAGAGCTTTTATACTGCTGATCTAAGTTCAGCCTTCTGGAAAGCGCAGCACAGTTAAGTGATCCCTGTTTGGCTCCTGATTGTAGTAAGACCTCTGCCTATTGCAGTACAACTACCATTTACTCTTGCTTTGCTGCCCCTGTAACATGAAATCAACATGCAACCAAATTCCTGTCTTTTTTCATTTTTTATCTCTGCCATGAAATTACACTACTTGACAAGAAAAAACAGACCTTGAACCACAGCACGAGCTGAACTTCTATGCAAGTTGAGCTATTCTATTGTAATAAACAAATTTTCCTTTTTTTATATTCAACTGATACACATCAAGCTGGAAAAAGATGTGTAAATTCAGACACTTTCAGGAAAAAATCTTCTTTATCTTTGTTTACGTTTACAAAGACCACCTCCTTCCACTAGGTTCAAATGTATTTGCAGTACAGCAGAATCTCACTGATAATTGGGGTTCCTTCGTCTAAGGCATAACATACATGTAAATGTGAACCCTTGCCTTCAAAATATAAAATTCAAACACAGATGAAGTCCTTTCAAACCTCCATTGTTTCTAAGGGGACAACATCTTCTACAGCACAACCCTATAGCATCTTGGTAAAGTCTCACAGAACGAAAAATTAAGAAACAAAATCCGTCATGAATTATGACTACCAAATTTTCAAATTCAAGTTTAAAAAAAACCCTAAAATGCAGTTCAAATTGTCAGTTCAAAACCAAAGTTTACTACACATTCTCAACGGCTACATAATCTTTCACAGAGAATACATTACCTTCTCTTCTCCTTCAAAGCTTTACCTTTTCTATTTAGAAAACCTGCTCACCCCAAAACTGCAATTCAAGTCATAACTGTTTTATCAAATTATCTGAAGCAAACTACTTTAAGACTAAATCAGCAAACCCCAATACACTGATTTTGTCAGCTTGTTCAGATAGAGGACAAGTAGTACTAACACCACAAGGACAAGGAAAAGATACTGTTTGAAAAGATGCAAATATTTCAGTGATGAATTTCACTGACATCCGTCAGCCTTGGCAAGACACTACACGTAAGCACTACATTGCAAAGCGTGCCCTGTATTAGATCAACAGCCTTAACACTGATTCTGACTGAAAGGCTCCTTTGCTGTTTAAAAATTCAGCCTTTATTGAAATGTTGTAACACACCTTTAAATCTCTATGGATAATAGGAGGCTTCTGTTTATGCATATGCTGCACTGCTCTGCAGGTCTGATAAAAGATCTTCAAAACTGTGTCACAGGAGATAGGTCCTTTGGATTCTACTTTCTTCAAGAATTCCACCAGCTGTCCTGCAGAAAATCAAAGAAATTCACATAAGCCCACAGAGAACACCACAAAGTTCTGCAAACTTGGCATGAATAGACAAGTGCTCTTATCATGGAAGATTGGCAGCCTTGACATGTAATATTAGATGGATATTCTGAAAATGGCAACTCCACACTGACTGCAGTGCCAAAAGAAACAGTGCTCTGAGGAACTACTCCTCCTCCTCCTTTCTCTGACTAGTCTCAAACACTAAGAACTTAATGATTATCCCATGTTTAAGATGAGGTCGTACCATAGTCTCAAAAGAACATGACCCTTATCCTATAAAAGATGGGGATGAGCTCTAGCTCCACTGAACTATGCTATTTTTAAGAGGCTTTCAAAGCTTCTAAGCGGTGAAACAACCTGTGCAAAACAGCTGTCAGATGCAGTGTGCACTGCTGGGAAAAGAAATAAAGTTTACCTTTACACAGCTCTGTAAGCAGAAGAAACTCTCCCTGTCCCGTGTCTGATTCTTCTTTTCCTATAGATGCAGCAGAGCAGAACTGGACAATGTTGGGATGACCTGAAAGTTTTTTCTGGAGATAACATGCTCAAGGAAGATGACTGCCTAGTTTAGTGATACGATTGTATACAGCAGTTCACAGACATCTCAGTTGGAATGTTAGCTTAAAACCACAGAAAGCATTACAGCTGCAACTAAAATAGTAAGCAGAACAGGGAAATCCATGACTTAGTAGAAAAAAAACAAACCAGAGTTCAAGGTGAGCCACTGACGGTAGCGTAATAAAAAGTCAAAATAAAATATTAAAAGAAATCCTTGTGAGTAAGGGTCTGAGGAAACAGGACTTCACAACAGGTCTAGTTAGTTCTTTTTGTCTTTTGACGATGACTGCAAGGCATCAGCACAAGTACCAGAGAGACCTTTTAATTATCAGCTGCTTGTCTACCTGGCAGATCAAGAAAGGGCTATCGTATCAACATCTGCCTTTCCAAGCAAGTATTAAGGATGTTATGTTTTGATTTTAAGTAATTAAAATAAAGTTTAAAACAAACAAAAGCTCTGAAAGACCAAGGAACTTGTCCTCCCATTATTAGTAATAATTCTTCATATTAAAATCTACCATGTTTCACTAAAATTCAAGGTATCATTTTTAACTATGTAAAGGGGAGCAAAATGTAAGTGATATCAACTTCTGCCAATGGAAGTTACATTGCATTATGCCTGTTTGTGTTGTCCCTGATGTGCATCACCTTGGCCATATACTGAGACTCATGCTTACGAGACAAACACACACTATTTACAGGATGTATTCACAAAGTCTGAAAAAAGCAAAGACATCATAAGTACAACAAAGCTATGAAAAATGGGCAAGTCGGATCTACCAAATGACAATGAATGCAAAGTATTATTTTGTATCTTATACATCTCTTCACAACCTTTTACTGAGTCCTGCAGGAATTAATTTGATTTCACAGTTACAGCTTGGAAAGTTAGCAACAGTTAACCCTCGTTCATATTACACATGTGCTTTAACAAGCCTGAGCTGTCAAAAAACATTCAAAGAACATTCAGTTCCTTACTCCTGCCAAGATGTACTCAGAGTAGGTAGAAAATGTATAGTGCTATGGTAGTCCATTCTTCGAAGCGTACTTCTAGTGAACTGTGTTTAGTGTAAGATTTTGCCAAACATTTCACTAACCATAAAAAGAAATATTTGAGTAACTTCAGATCAGCGGTTTTCCTGGTAACTCAAAATGACGTTGAATACTCAGAGTGGTAAACAAAACAACAGCATACCACAGCTACTCACTAACACTTGAAACAAACTGAGGGTTTTAGAGCAGATGCTGGAGAGCAAATATTGAGTTTACTGAGGCAAGGACTGAAAACTCTGAGATTGCATTATACCCTACCATCTAATATCACTGCAGACAGAAAGGACAGCAATGACACTCAAACATCTGCTTCTTGTTTCCGATGTATGTATTCTACTGAAATTCCTTCCTTAACATTCTGTATCACTTTTTAAAGCCAGACACTTCTGCGGCAGAAACTAAGAAACATCGAGTAAAAGAAAAATTCTGAGTAGCCCAAAAGGCAATAAATCCAGTGCACATGATGGAAATGTACTTAAGATCTAAGCATCATCTGCATAGTTCAGAAAGATCTCTTTACCACAGTCACTGGACTGCAAGAAAGCCCAGGTAAGAACTGCACTTCTTGCCAGACGAAGTACATGACAAAGTCTACACTAGCTACAAAAGTTCTCCGCACACATTAAATTTCTGCAATTTTTGAAGAACTGAAGTTGCTGGACATTGGTGCCAGGTTCATGACAAATCAGGAACCCAGACCTTCCTCAGAATGTCAGTCTGCGGAAGCAGTGCATGGCATGGAAAGAACTGAATCTGTAGAGCAGTCCCCTTTTCTCAGAAATGCGTGGTCAGGCAACTACATCGAAACATTACAGTATGTTCCAGAAAAGGATACCATAAAACAAACTTCCTGAATGATGGCTTTGTTCTTTTCTTCTTCATTAGACAACAATCGCTGTTAGAAAACAGAATAATGGAGAAGATTTAATTATTGAACTTACAGAAAAATTGTGCACCGTTTTTCCAAAACACAAAGGATAAGCTACAGTCAAAAACTTAGGGAACTAAGGCGGGACAGTAAACAAAGCAGGCTTATTGTACATTTGTACATACTGCCATAAATATAGCACCCAGTCTTTTCTAGTTACCTGTACGGTTCAAGCTTAGTGATAACCAGCTACCTGTACTATTCAAGTTTAGTGATAACTGAGTACCTGTCAGCTTTGACACTCTTAAACTGCTCTGACAGTTATCCATTGTATAAAGCACTAAAGTCTCCTGGTTTACAGCATTGTGCACTGACAAGGAAAGATTCACCCGCCACCTCAAATCTTACCACTTGGATTTGGAGTCAACATTTGACCAGAACCAATCCGAGCACTTGCTACAAAAGTACCCGTCTTACAAAACTGTGGAAGTACAGTAACAGTTCACCTTTTATCTACAAAATGGTTCACCTTTTAGCTACAAAAGTACCCGTCTTACAAAACAGAGGAAGTACAGTAATGGTTCACCTTTTACCTGTTATTTTTAAGCAGGGCTACTTCTAGATGACATTTTGAACACAGATACTATATGGGTTTGGTCACATGTTTTGTTCGTGTAGGATGTGGTATGAAAAGGAAAAAAACAGACCAAGTAACTACCAGTGGTGTAATGCCATCTTACCTCTCCCACCTCTCATACTACTACCCTTTTTACCTTCTCTCCCTAACAGATGTCTTCGTACTGATACAGCCACACAACATCCCTTCTCCAAAAATAAAGCCATTTTGTGGTGAACACAAGTAACGATTTTCTTTGCAGCACAATACGACACAGTAAATGACTACACTTTACTGTCCTTTCCACAATACTTCAGTTTTTCAACTGTTACATTATTATTATAAGCCTTTAGAAAACAAGCACCCAGAGGAGTGCCTCTGAAAAATGCCAGACTGAATGTTTGATCAATGAATCAAAGTGTAGAGCATTAATTTTAATATTGATGAAACTTACTCTGGAAGTACAAAGGTGGGCTAACCTATAGGTTAAATCTGCTTCTGAGGAGCAAAAGTATTCCTGCACCCCACTTCAGGTAACTAAGAAAGATTCTTTCTACTCATGCAACAAAATGCATGGGGTAGGGTAATGAATTTCCAGACCAAATGAAGACAAACAGCAGTAGTACCTAAAAGAGCCACTCCCACCTTTGGCATCAAAGTACAAAGCCCAGAGTCCTAACAGGAATGACTGTTCTAAATACAGGCAGTGCCCTACAAACACCAATTCATCATTCTGGATTTTTCCAAATTACTTGTTTAGTGGCATGCATCAAGAATTAACTGTCATGCTAAAGCACCAAGCAAAATGACAGAGCTTGTAAACCTGTAGCGAAGTAAACTCATCTTACCTTTAAAGCATAATCTTTGCCACTTCCAAGATCTTGAGCTTCATAAACAAAAGCAAAACCACCTATAAAAAGGCATATTAAGTCAGTTTTAATTTCAACATTCAGGTAAACCATTCTTTTTAACGTAACAGAGCTAATACATCAATTTAGATGCTTTTCTGAACGTAAGAAGTATACATATTTTTCAGTGGCTTGCCAAGAGTATGGGTAATCTATATACAAGAGCTAAAATACTCTCTTCCCTTCTTTTGCACATGCCAGAACCACATTTTGTTAGTCTGCATATGCTGATTTTTTGTGAAAAACTGGTTTTCTTAGTGTAGGTTCTTATAAAACCAAGACTACTCAGTACAGCCTATAATACCCAATGATTTTAATTAAACTACTTCTTGGTTTCACACTGTCAGGCTTCCTATAAAAATAGCAATAACGAAGGGAGATACAATGTTAAATATATACCTCCTCATACTTTTAGAATAATTGCCATGCTTCAGCCTTTTCAAGCACTGAAGCACACACTTCCAATAAGGGTGATGCTGTTACTAAACTGAAATTTGTCATTCCATACAACATTCTTTTCCTTCCAACTTCTTTTGTCAGAATATTTATTTCAAACACCCCCAATTTTCTCATGAACACTGTGTGAATTTCTACAAAGTGCAAAAGACTGAGAAAAAGTTACAGGTCTGCTAAGTTTCCTCAACTGCTAGTTATGCTAATCTATCAAAAGAACCTATTTGAATAGTTCTACTCCATTTTCAAGACCCCGGTATCACTTCCGTTTCATCTGGGAATGCCAACCTCACAGTTACACCAATAGCATGGTTGCATATGTGCTCTCCATCTACTGCAGAGTATCTCTAGTAGAGTAACAGCCCAAGTGACAAACTGCAATGATTTGCCTCTCTACTCCTTTAATATAAATTCTGCTTTCATTGAACAACATCAGTGTTCTCTCTAGCAATATTCTGGAGAGCAAGCACAGAAGACGTCAGTGAACTATGAAATTACACTGGTCAAAAAGGCTAAGAGAATAGGATAACTAAAGAATGAACCACCACAGACAAGAAACAGTAAGGCATTTTCAAAAAAAGACGCAAGATCCAAATTATTACAGTCACATTAGTACCCAATACCTTCTCTATGGATAAGGAATATTAACATGAAGCTAAAGTATACACAGTATTTGCTTTGTGCAATTCAGTCAAATACAAGGCTTTTCAAGCAGCACTCTCAAAAGTTTTACACAGCAGTTGACCATCACAGTGTTCTCCAAGAATTCTGAAGGGTACTGCCAACACATCTTGTTACTTTGCAAGTAGCATCCACAATACAAAATGAGTGACAGGCCTCTGTACATTGCCTTTGCTTTTGGTGTCTATAGGGGAATTATACAAAAACCCAGCAAAACCAAGATCCCAGCTGCATGGGAAACAAGCAAGAGAGTAACTAGCGCACCACAGAAGAGCTGAAGTGTCAGTGAGAACACAGGAGATGACAGACAGCAAGGGCTGCAGTTCAGCCCCACCACTCGTTACTCACGCATGCGTTGTGCTCAACCATTTACTTTAATTCATTCTGTAAAAAAACAGGTTCGGTACTTCCCACAACAGGAAGTTCCTCTAGCTTTTCTAAAGCTTCCAGTGACAGTGTTCTGATCAGCAATTACAATGGGCATTTTGGGCACTGATGGGATAGGGCTGGAGACTGAATGGAGCCCACTCTTACCACCATCTTGGAGTACTACCTGAAGGCACTTTGTTCATTTCTGAATGAGAACATAAGCACGAAAAACATGGTTTTGGACAGCATTGATCAGTTATGACGACAGTTTATGGATTTCATACAGCTGGTGAAAAAAGCAAGATAATCCTTCCACAGAAGCTGTGTGCTGCGAAACCATGTTTTTTTGACTGCTCTTCCCAACCAGCTGCCTATTCACATCCAGAGGCATACGCCAGGTTTCAGAGCTCGCTGTCCCAGTGAGTTGCAAGGCTCACACCAGCATATACCAGTCACTGTACCACAGAGCTGCTGCCTCCATGCCTTTGTCCTACACGGATCCCACAGACACAGTGAAAATACTTCTGGCCCTACAGAAGAAAGTCTTTACACTCACCTTGATAAATATTTCTTTGGTTTTATTCCAATAATCCTGCAAGCTGCATCTTGAAAATATATGATCCGGTTTATAAAACTGGGGGCTTCAGGTCAGCACAAATTTCTAGTACACTAAATTACTGCACAGTTAGTTTTCTGGAAGGCACCCAAGAACAAAATGGTGACAGAGGTACCCCACATTACAGAACAGTTATTCCGCAAGCTCAGCTATGCACACTGTCAAGGGTTGTGCCAAGGCTGGAATGGGGCAAGTTGAGTATTTCGAGCACACGCACCTTGTTATTACCTCTACAAATACAAATGTTCACAGACCTACATACATGCACTCCAAAATATAACTACGCTTCATTCAGATACATCAAATGCCCTCCTGGAAATTATACAGGTGAAAGCTCCTACGTACCAGAATTACATCAAACCAATACAATTCCTCATTTTCAAGCATACATCTGTTTAACAACCAAGCTGATCCAAACTCTGAAGAAGGCCCCTAGAAGCACTGCTACTTGTCCAACTATTTCAACTACTTTGATAAGCTCTCCTACAAGCTCTTCCTCTAGTGTAAGAAATCCTTACAATATAGACCAGTTGCACATTATCACTAAGCTTAACCCTGCTGACACCAAGTACAGAGGCGTAAAAGAAGGAATTAGTTTACCCAACTAAAAAAAAAAGACTACAGTAAGTCTTCAGAAAAGATCTTTAAAATTTTCACAAAATGCTGATCATAATACAGATCTCCCAAAACACTAGTCACATTTACAGTTGCCCTGAAATTTACTTTCTCAGTTCACAAATACTTTTGAAATCCATGCCTAATACTGAACCATATTTATGAAAACTATACAAGTCCATTTCTTGATGGAAAAGCCTGTTTTTTTAACACTCAGAATCACAATGTTACAACTACCTCAGAAGGGCTTCTGAAGTTTAAGTCATTTGTTGCATTTAAATGAATCTCGTTTACAACAAAAAAAAATTAATTTCAGTCCTCTTAATTGCTAGCTAGGAATCTAAAGAAATTTTATATTCAGCTTCATAACTACTTCAAAACATATACTGGTTGTAAATTTCAATACTCACTGAAAATCATAAACATTCATTTTGGACTAGCAATGCAAGAGAACATTTTGAGCAATGCAAGTCATTCAAAAATCATGAAGTCTTGTTATTAACAGAAGTTAATACAAACTCTGCTTAGTTTAAAGCACAGCTACCTGACTTCCTGACCTTACCTGGAAATCCAGTGAAATGTGCATACAAGATGTCGCAACCAAGATTTTGCTAAGGTCAAATTTAAAGGTGCTGAGACCCAACTTGTAAGTTAGCAATACTTGGTTTAATAATTACATTTTCATAGCATGGGTTAACACAAGGAAATGTAATGAAGAGTCTTCTTTAAGGCCATTTCAATGGCGGCACAGCTTAGCAGAGCTCCTAGCCATAGTCATGCAGTAGCATCTCAATTTATACAGAGGTATTAGAATAGTACACTGAAGGGAAAAACTTCATGAAAATAGCAATAGCTTGAAAGTACACATGTAGCTTACAAGATGCACTTTTACTTCAGCAATTGTACCTTGAAAATCAAGTACTGAAATGCTAAATACAAGAGTTAAGTTTGTTAAACTTATAAGAACTCCAAACAAAAGCCAGTAATATCATGCCTGTTTAAATTCCTACTTCACTGCACCCATTTTGCAGTGAATTTCACTGCTATGGCCTCTAATCTCATCCTTTACTGCTATGTCTCTGTCAAAGCACCAGATTTAAGTTTCTCATTCTGCCACCTCATTTTTCACCTGAACACTTCCATACTATTCCACGTGGTGATCAGTTCCCTACTACTGCAGCACTACAGCTGATAGCAATTTTAAATATCTGGATTTTCTGGGATACCAAAGGTGGTACAGTTGTGAAGGTACTTTTAATTTACTTTGTTTAAAAACATCTGTTATTAGTGAAACAAAAGGCAAAATTAGTCCTACTCCTTCATTTTTGAAAGCAGTTTCATTTAGAGTTTGACAGTGGCTTCCTTATAGAGCTAGTCTATTAAAACAGCTTTAAAATACCCTGAATAGGGCCAGCTTCACCGGCAAAACTTCTCCTTTGCCATAACAGCTTATTCCAGGCCCTCTGACCAACGCAGCTTACAATACAATTTTGCAAAAATGAAAAACAAAAAAAAAGCAGTTTCACCTGTTTAACTATAACCACACGAATGATTTCGCAGTCAACATAGCGATGCCAGTTAAGGATCACACCCCTACATGAACACACCTGTATGAACAAGCACCTGTACAGGAGACCCAACCGAGGCAAATAAGGAAATGAAAGTTAAGAGTAGAAGGACTGTTCTGGTTTCTTTCCTAGGGGGTGCAGAGAGAATGCAGTTTTATTTGGGGTATTTCCACTCATTTCCATTCATCTACTTGTCTCTACGTGGTTTTAAGTCAGTTTTCTGAAGCCTTTTGTATGAGGAAAATAATCTTAGTATTTCCCTATACAGGTTACCAGGGTGTGTATATGTGCATACCCATTCAAGCTCTTGCCCTGAGACACAAGTTTTCCATTGCTGAAGCATTTCATAGTCCGAATTTCAGAATGCAGCCCAAACTCTCAAAAATGGTCTCAGATTACTATTTTCTGCCACGTAAATTATGGCAGAAGACAACTATTTTTCTTTCTTTTCTGTGGATACAAGCTTACACAGAAGAGGTTCACTACAGAGCACCACACCAGCTCACGAAAACAGAGTAGCCAAAGTGCAACAGTCAGTCCTGGAATGAGTCCTGGGCCATAACAGACCCAGAAAAACAGGCTAGAGCACAAAGCTTACCAGCCTCACCTTCCTGCCCCACGCTGAGACCACTTGATGACTTGCTTTCCATGAGAAACTAACCCTAGCTCATTTGCTTTAATAGTGAGCACTGTA